AGTGACAACCGCCTGACTCTGAGTGAAAAAGAAGGTATATTCTTCTTCCTATTATTTTATTAAACACTAAAAGTTCATGACAAACTTGGCAGCTGCTTTGGCGTCAGAGCTCGCGGCTTCCCCATGCCGTATGACTGGATGTCAGTCCTTGGCTCACCACTCGTTTCTAGATGCTACCTCGTATCATGAGCAAAATCTTGCAATAGTTGCAGACTCGTAACATTGAATACTGGAGAAGCTCGCATTTTGGGGGTCCACTGTATTTCCTGAATCGTATCCCACTGATCTCTTCATCATGCAGCTATAGACTGGGGTTGGAAGTATATATATATATATATATATATATATAGACACTTGGTGTCTTTATAAATATTTATATAGAGACACCATGCGGTCCAGTTGCCCTCTTTGTAACTGCCTTGGATTCTTCTTCTTCATACTGCAGTACTTTTTAAGACAGTGAGTGTGCGAAACCCAACGTGTGAACTTTTTATTGAATTTTCTACATTTGATGCAATAAATCACGATTAATCACAGGAAATTATACCTTTTATTGCAATTCAAAATTTTCAATATTGCAGAGCACACCTATTTACTACTGATTGTGACCCGAAACCCATTGTACTGATGTGTTTTACAAAACAGAGATGCAATTAGTCATTAAGCTTTTGATCATTGTTGCAGAACATATCTTTGTATAGCAGTGTCTCCCAACCATTTTAGAGCCGCGGCACAGGCACACGTCTAGATTCAATTTACTCTCTTGTTTTAGTTTTTATAGCCTTCATTTGGTACCACTCAAGGTAAAGGATTTATATTGTTCTGCCAATCACTGTCACGTAGAGGAGCAAAGACAAATTAGTAGCTGTGAACAAATAATAGATTTCAGACCAGTTGAGCCAAAATGGGTTAATTTCCAACAATGTCATCCAAATGTGATGACATTTGCTGCTAATGTGCTGCGACACAGTGGTTAGGAATCACTGCTATATACAAATGATATTGGAACAAATGTGGTGAACATTTAACACCATGGAAGTTCCTCTGGGTCATCGTCAACAAAAATATTCCCAACGATTTCATACTCAAGGGACCTCCAGCTGAACACATTTCCTGCGGTGAAGTATTTGTGCTTCATGTAGCGTTGGATCTCAGTGGGAGTCAGGACATGGTCCCACATGTGGACATCAGAAATCATACCAACGAAAGACTGAGCGGCATCAAAACCTCCACCGTAAGCGTCTTGTTCTTGGCCCAGAATGGTGTTGGTTGCACCATTGATGGGTGCTCCTGATGTGATGAATTTCTTCACACTTGCTTTACCATCCAACCACACCTGAGACAACCCGTTGTCAGACTCCCAGGTGACACACAGAGAGTGCCAAGTGTTGTCTTGGAACGCCATCGACAGGAAGTCTGCAGCTGGCTCCAGAGTATGGATTCTGATGGTTTCAGATTCAAACTTGTAGAACACAATGGTGTTACTTCCTGAGGAACTCGCCATGGACAAGAGACTATAGGCTCTTGGCAGATCAGTGAGGAATCTGGAAAGATGAAGACATTTGGGAGAATAGTAGTTTTGTATGAATTCAAATATATTTACCAATAGGAAGGCATTGTAGAGCCACACTCCTGCCATAGGGAAGCAGGCAGTACTAGTAAGACCTTAAGTAAGATTAGATGTATTTCACAACTGAGAGATTTACATTTTAAGATATCCATACTGATTTATGTTTGTAAATTAAAAATGTACAGTTTTATAGACGGCGCTGTTCATATCACAATCTGCAAGCTGTAAATCAGAGATGCAGATTGGGGTTTGTTTATAACTTACACAAATCCACCTTCCATTGTCTGCACTTTCCCATAAATAAATGCAATATTAAAAAAAAAAAGAATTCTGTGTCCAATACCTCATACAGGTGGTGTAGGCAGGAATATGGGTTACAGATGTCACAAGTTTGACATGGTCCGTGTTGGTCTCCTTGGGGAAAACCAACACTTTTCCTGAGAGATCTGCACAGAGGTGAAGAAAGAGAGTGAAGAACACCGACTTGTTCTACTTTGTTGACATTTTTGTGAATGTTAATTTTGTTTATTAGATCGTGGAAATGCTCTTAGTGACACTTTACTGAAAAGCAAAAGACATGTGCTACTCGTGTAAAAGCTTTGCTCACTTTCTGTCGCGTTGGCTGTCTTACCTTTGTAAAAATTGTTTAATTATTATATTTATTTTTAATGTTATTTTCTAATTCCATCCTTTGTGTATTAATATATTCTAAACAGTACAGTGACAATTTGAAAACTTGTTTTTTAAATACAAAGACTTTGTTTCTGGCTAGAAATAGCCTTCAGTGATATCGTTACAAACCTGCATGAGCTGAACAGGATGAGAGGGCAACAAACAAAAAGAACAGTCTCTTCATCTAGGATAGGAACAAAAAGTCAGTTTTAGTATCACTAAAAACATTCAAACATTCAAGTATCGGAAAAGGTGTTGAGGAAATAAAATCATCTATGGGTTTCTAGATGTGGACTATCCTCAATTAAAAACAACTTTATTTAACTCTACTCCTGCAGTCATCGTCTAATCTCAGTCTTCCACTCATTTCAGGTCCACATACAGGAGGAGAGCGAAGTGATGAACATCACCCATACAGCCTCTGGAATATACTGCATACATATAAGCTACTGTAGATGAAGTTACCGCAAGCTAACAACACATATAGCCAAGCCAATATAATATTGAAGTTATTAATGTTTTGTTAAAATATATTTACCTTCTGTTGATTTTCTTTCACTCTTAGGCTGGAATACTATGTTGTATAGTATGGTCCTCCAGTGTCTGAGATTTTTGTTTGTAGGGACTCATATTTATATAGCATCCGTCCTCCCTCTCCAACAACACCCCAACTCCTCCCCTCTACCCCCCAATTGATACCTCATTCTCCTTGTTTGTCCACCTTGGAGCCACCGTTAGACAAAAGGCATAACTGTATGTGGAGCCTATCACCTTCCTTTTGTTGGGTTTGTTTGTCTATTGTCACGCAACACTACAGGCTGGCTATGTCTCATGTCTCTGTCTCTTTTAAATGTATCTGATAAAAAAATAATAATCAGGAATCAATTTCAATTGTGGGGGTTGAATTGCATTTCAGGTTAATCTACCTCTAGTCCTTTTCAATTGTGGGGGTTGAATTGCATTTCAGGAAAAATTGTTTCAGGGGTTTCAAACCAGACTAGATCATAATTCAAGTCTATGGGAAAATGTAACATATTCTTAGTACCGATATGTTTTTGGTTAATCTACCTCTAGTCCTTTTTAGGGCTTTGAGCCAGGTTTTGATACACCCAAGACTGAGACAAACAACACTTCTTTGTCACACTCATACATTTTTCACATTTCTAATTATTAACCACACCCTGCGTGGTTTTTAACAATGTGGAGAAACTGGAGTATCTGGGAAAAACCCGAACACCCACTTGAAAAACAAAAACTCCGTATAGAAAAACCATGGGTTTTCACACGGAACTGTTTATCTTTAGAACTTTCTTTAGAATTGTTGATCTTTAGAATTTTCTTTAGGTCTTGCAAGCAACCAATTTCCTTAAAATCAAGGTCTGGGTGAAAATATAAACAAACTAACACCTGTACTGACATTTTCATACATGGAAATGGTAGAGGCCATTTTCAGGTGCGCAGGTGTACATGTCCTCGCCAGAGAAGACAGGTTGTTTGAGAGAGCGTTGAAGGAAGCCATTTATGTCAATCTGGATAAACCATCTCTCAATAGAGGACGTGGTTTGAGACACAACCTTTCATCCACCTATAATCTCGTCCTGAGTCCTCGCTCACCAAAAAATTAAACCCCCTCTGTTAAAACAATACCACAGTTTCATTTCCCAGACAAACGTGTCACTCCGGTGAAACTATAATCCATCCAGCTATGGTTTCAATCCTCATTAACACCTCTAACCGTACTTAGAATTAAGTGTGTTTCAAGCGTAGGGTGTGTTTTAAAGCTCTTAAAAACCTGTCCGTTTTCCGTAAAAAGACAATGATGGTTCTGTAAAAAAGGTTACAATAAAAGTAAAATGAGTGAACACCTAACTAACCCATACCAAGTATTTTTGGTGCCCTCCAGTGGTTTAGGCCTGGGTCGACGCAGCATTAAGTGAAGTACTGCCACCCAGTGAAAAAAAGTTCTACTGCATTCAGTACAATCGTCGTTGATATTTAAAATAAATTTAAAAAAATAATATGAGTGATAAAGCACAAATATCATAAATGTTTTCTCTCCCAAGTCCTTCATTTTATTTGCAACACTACATTACCCATAAGCCATCACGCTGGCGTAAGTTATTTTACGACAGACGCCAAGATGGTTCTTGAAAGTACTATGGTCTGGTAAGAAATCAAAGAAACATTTTAAATTTGGGGCAGAGTTCTTCTTGACTAATTCGAATTATTTATAATGATTCTGGTGGTTTCGGCTTCATACAAACTTGTGCGTGAAGTCATTATATTTGGAGTTTTACGATGTCAGGGTCTCCGATCAACCGAGTCACTTAGCTAGCGTTAGCTTAAGAAAGCCTTTAGGCTAATGTTTATCGCCTGATAAACCGCAGATTCGCATTTATGGCAAAATATATCCACGTCCACATCGACAAATGAAGAAGTACCTCCTAAATGTTTTCGGACCATAACATATGGTTTAGACTGAGTCGTAAGATTGTGGCTAAAGTCTCATTAAAAACCTACTGTCATTGTCTGCGATGCCACTGCTATTAACTATTGTGCCTTTCTTTTGTTGACCCTTCGTATAATATGTCAGGATAGATTTGGTCTTAACATGCTTTGGACTTGAATATGGTGGTAAAGAGAACTCAACCGAAGTCGTTTTTTATTCTAAATAAAGGGATTGACACTCAGTATGCAGGTCATCCAGATTTGATGTCAACCGATAAGGATTATCATCTCATCGTCCCACCAGTCTTTCCGGTGTAGAAATCTGAACCCACTGAATCTGTAATTTTATTTCTATTGAATGTTCCATTGACAATTAATAAAAGTTTTTGTGTTTTTTTTACTGTATACTACAATGTACTGTAGACGTTATCCAATTAATCAACATTTCTTCTATCTGAGCCTCGTACTTAAACTAATAATCATTAGATAAACTAATCATCATGTGTCCATCTTTTTCTAGTGTCGATAATAGTGAGTACATGCGGAATGGAGACTTTCTGCCCACACGGCTGCAGGCTCAGCAGGATGCTGTTAACATCGTCTGTCACACCAAGACCCGAAGCAACCCTGAAAACAACGTGGGCCTTATCACCATGTCAAAGTAGGAGCCTGTGTGTACTAAGCAGTGTAGTGACGCTTTAAAATGCAACCGTTTAATACAAGTGTATGAACTCCGCAGCAACTGTGAGGTGCTGACCACACTGACTCCAGACACGGGGAGAATCCTCTCCAAACTGCATGCTGTGCAGCCTCGTGGAAACATGAGCTTCTGCACTGGCATCAGAGTGGCACATGTGAGTTTGAATACAGGACTTTGAACATGTTTGGAACAACAACCAAAAAAAAAAAATTCCAATGCTTCTGTTTGTAGTTGGCTCTGAAGCACAGACAGAGCAAAAACCACAAGATGCGAATCATTGCGTTTGTTGGCAGCCCGGTGGAGGACAATGACAAGGAGGTGAGTTTGATTATGACGTCAGTCGTCTTGCATATTTGTTCTGATATTATATAACAAGTAACAAGTTTTTTTGGGCATTCAAAGTTTCTCAAATTGAGAGACCGTGGACTGTCGCAACAAAATAATTTCTTTAGCTCAATTGAAGCCGGGCCTTTTGTTAAAGCACCTGTTTAGCTCCAAAGGTTCGGTGTAAAAAAAACAAACGAATCTGCTCCTAATTATTGTACTTGTGGTGGTATCATCTGAAGTATTTTCCTTTTCTCTTAGCTGGTTAAAATGGCAAAGCGCCTGAAGAAAGAAAAAGTCAGCGTGGATATCATTAATTTTGGAGAGGAGGTATTTCTTCCTTTATCTCTCTCTCTCACACACACAATAATCTGAGCCATATTCTAACCCTTACTGCAAACTTACCTTATGGTTTTACCAACTTCACACACACAGAGTTTGTCTTGTTTTTATTGTCATTTTAAAGCTCAGAGGTCCTCGGTCTTTTTTCTCTCGTCCAGGAGATGAACACAGAGAAGCTGACTACCTTCATCAACACACTGAATGGTAAAGAAGGAGCTGGCTCCCATCTGGTCACCGTACCTCCAGGTCCCAGCTTGGCCGATGCCCTGCTCACCTCCCCCATTTTGGCCGGAGAGGGAGGCGTAGCTCTGGGTCTGGGTGCCAGTGACTTTGAGTTTGGAGTGGATCCCAGTGCGGACCCAGAACTGGCCTTGGTAGGAGATTTTTTTTTTCTAACTAGACCAAATGCATGTTAAGCTAAAAAGAAGTGTTTAAATTGAGCTGTTTTTGGTACAGATAATTAAAAAGTGTATCGATATTGTGTTTTGTATAGTCTCCTCACATCATCAGATTTTTTTTGTCAGGCTCTGCGGGTGTCCATGGAGGAGCAGAGGCAGCGCCAGGAGGATGAGGCTCGCCGGGCTGCAGTTACCTCAGCTGCTGAAGCTGGCATTTCCTCTCCTGCTGCAGATGGTGATCATTGAAAATGTTCATTGGAAGATTTGGAAAACTGCCTTTAGTTTCCTACGGGAAAATACAAGTTTTGTGTTTTCAAACCACATTTTTATTTTATCCCAGAGTCAGAAGATGCCCTGTTGAAGATGTCGGTTCCACTCTCCGACTCCACCACACCTGCTTTACCAGACTTCAGCCGCATGACAGAGGATGAACAGATTGCCTATGCTTTGCAGATGTCCATGCAGGGAACAGGAGAAGGTTACACATGGATTTGGAATTTTTTTGTAACAAAACCACTTTCAATGTAAAAAAGACAGATTGGGTTTTCATTTAAAAAAAAAAATAGAAACAAACTTCTTTTACTGGAGGATCAGGAGTTTAAAACTGGAACTCCTGTCCTTAAAGCATCGGAGTTTAAAACTGGAACTCCTGTCCTTGTCATGTGACAGTAAAAGTTGTAAAGCATCTCTTTGTCAGTGACCTAAAGATTATTAGCTCAGCTGGAGGGGTTGCAGTCTTTAAGGCAACAGAGTCCTCTAGCGGTAAAAAAGAGGTACTTCTGTTTCGTGACAAAAAAAAAATCTTAACGAATTTATCATAAGTTCTTGCTCAATCTCTCTATTAGTTTGGATTGAAGACCCCTGATTATCAGTTTGGCAGCTGAGCTGTTTAATGTAGTACGGGAGAGGCTGTGCCTATGGGAGGTTGTTAAAACACAATAAAATATTTGGATTTGACAGAAAGCCACCTGAAGGCAATTGAGAGACGAACAGAAACACACAGAATCTTTGGCTCATTTTTCACTGTGTTATTAAGCCATCACTCAAGATTATCTGAAAGTAAACATTTATGGCACCATATTGAATGATATTGTGCCTGCAGCACTTTGCATGGAGTTTTGGAATGTCACAGAATCCCATTGTTGAAACCTGGGCTTATCAGTATCTGTGTTGTTCCGTGTCTGCTCCCATATTTTCAGGTGTATAAACCCACAGTGTTGCCTGCACAGACACCAGTTTGTGCATTTTCACAGAGACTAAATTATTGGCACACAGGCTTCTCATAACCAGCTCTTAGGCCTGCTACAAAAACCATTCAAAAACCACTCTGTTCTGATTTGACTAGATATCTGTGTATTCTTTACTTCTAGACCTTGGTGGTGAGGACATGGACACTGGTGCTGACATGGATTCCAGCGAGGCAAAGGTATGAACCAGCCTTCACTTAGTCCCAGGTTTCATTTTCTTAGAATTATCATCTGTTTATGACTGTCATTTATGACCGGTGTTGTGGTTTCTTGTTATCTTTGTCCAGGATGACGAGGACTATGACGTTATGCAAGATCCAGAGTTTCTTCAAAGTGTCCTCGAAAACCTCCCCGGAGTTGATCCAAACAACGAGGCCATCCGTAACGCTATGGGCTCCCTGGCTTCTCAGACGGGTTCTAAACCTGATACAAAGAAGGATGAGGAGAAAAAGAAATGATGTAGATTATAATATGTAAAAAAAAAAAAATAAACAGACCTGGAAAATATACAATGTGCATCATGTTTTTTTCCACAGTGTGGGGTAAATCAAAAGTTTAAAGTTTTTTTTTTTACAGTTCATTAACAGCAGAAAAATTAAGGCAAGCAAAGTGTACCCTAATAAAGGGCAGATGATTTATGTAAGGGAATGGAGGGGGCTTTTTCAAACCAAACAGCATGTCATTGTGTATGAGTTTAGAAAATGATAAAATGTGTGGAAAAAAAATCTGTTTACATTTTTTTTCATTTTATTGTTAAAATTAAAAAAAAAGTAATGGTCATGAAACCAGACAATATCAAGATGAAATTAAAGGTACTTTAGAAAACCTATGATGTCATAAGAACGTTTAAATTCTTTTTTAATATTTGTCATTCATAAAAATAAAAATAACCTGATTTTGAGGGAAAATGTTTGAAATCTCGCATATTCCTGGCTCCCATACAGTGCTAACTTTATTCAATTAAAAACATGTTCATGTTTATCTTGTATTTACAATATTATGCTTATTATTTATACCATAGATATAATTTGAGCGTTTTAGTTTAAATAAAAACATTAAAAAAATTAAGGCCGATTGAAATTAATCGATTTTTTAAATAAAGGATTTTTCACCCTGACAGTCAGTGTAAAAATATAATCGTTAAGGTATAGTTACTGTTAATGTTATACCTTATTTACCGACACAGGAACCACACAGCATGCATTTGGCTCTGAGAGAGAGCAGTGTCGCAGGATTTGATGACGTAAAACTACTGCGTCAGGAAGAAAAGTCAGGAACCACTAATAAACTAACAGGTAACTAAAAAAGACCTCGGGAGAGTTCTAGCACACTTTGAAAATAAGTCGTGAGCATCACAATCGTTAAATAAGTTACGCCAAAATATCAACACGTTTTTACGTTATGCCGAAAGTTGACTAATGACGTTACAAACGCCACCGAGCAGGTGAAAGCTATGCTGTAGCTGTTAGCAGTTAGCAGAAGCTTCCACCTGTTGCTTCATGACAGTTGAGTTTGACATTTTTAACGGCTCGTGCATTATGCATTTTATCACCTAGCCATACATTTATTTTATTAGCTGTGAGTTACCGTCAATAACGTTCTATATACAAAACACGTACTTTTTGTTTCGACCGTCGTGCAGAAACAGCTGTTCTCACTGTGAGAAACACTAGTTTGAACTGTACGCCCTCATCCGTGTGGAATCACAGCCATTATTATGTGTTTTATTTATATTGTATACATGCATATGAGAAAGATAGAACACTTGTGGCCAGTATTGACGATGTTATTTTATTTTTTACCTCAGGTTCTCGTCAAATGTTTCGTTTTTAGTAACGAGTAAAATATGAACAGTACTGCTTCCTGTCGGAGGACGAAACACAGCAATTCTGACAGTTAAAAACCAAATTATAAGCTCCTTTTTTAAATTGTGGTAAAAAAAATACTCCTGTGGAATTTTTGCAGTGTTGGTCATTGAGGGTTTAGGGTAAACCTGATTGCCATTGGAACACAGCTAAACTCTTGACAAAGATATAATAGTACAATTAGTACAAAGACCCAGGTAAACAAACATATCTGTTGCTTATCTACTTTTTTGTAGGTTTCCAGCCTTGTGCCAGGGATGGGGGACATGAAGACCCCAGACTTTGATGACTTACTGGCAGCTTTCGATATTCCTGATATTGAGGCCATACAGTCAAATCCAGAAGAGAATCAACATGAAGCAGTGACCAATGCAGCGGTAGAAGAGAATGGGTCTCTGTCGTGCTTTGCCCGCTCTCCTGCCCCGAACGCTGAACGCCCTGCAGTCAGCGTCATTGTGAAGAATGCTGTACTTCCTCAGTTGTACATAGAGGAGGAGGAAGAGGAGGAGGAGGAGGAGGAGAAATCAGGTGGTGATAAAACAATACGGGACTTGACTACAGGTACAGAATTAAATTTCCCATTTCAGAACAACTTGAGTGATCTTCACTTGCAAGTGGATTCCAAACCAGCTGCTGTGGAGCCACAGATATCCAATGGCTTTAAGACATCTATGCTCATGAATCATACTCAGTGGTCACCAGTGAGGTCCACCCTGAATGATAACGAAAGTGACCCTAATAATGATGCGAAGCCCATTCTCTGTTCACAGTCTCTGAGTAATACAGGTCCAGATCACTCAGTTCTTACCCCGTTACACTCTTTATCACCGCTTCAAAAAGATGACTGTCTTCTCTCTGATGTGTCACCCTCTACTGTACCTCACAGCATTGGTACTGAAACCGAAACTAAAACTGCTGTGCACTCAGAGGACGCAGACTCTGAGCCAGATTTGGGGAGTCCACTCATGATCCACGAGAGTCCGGAATCTCTCTTATCCTCCCCATCACACTTAAAACCTCAGCCTGACGTGTTAGCTACTCTGGAAAACTCTTCATCTAATATTTCACCTCGTCTCTCCTCCTCATCTATCTCACCTACGAGACTTGAACCACTCCTCGGGAATGAGAAGCACACCTCCACTCCCACTTTCCCCACCGCAGCTCCTCAGCTACAGAGCCCTAAAGATCGCCTTCTCTCTAGATTTACAGGCTGTGCGCCAATCCAGGAAGAGAAATATCCAGAGCATGTGATCGATGAGAGAGACTCACCCGAGAGCCCACCACCCAGTGAGACAGGTGTCGTTGTCCCCATCAGAAACGGCAGCCCTGAATTGGACAAAGCCCCAGGCTCACCGGGTCAGACTGAAGAGCTGCAGGAAAGGTCGGCAGAAGAAGAGGAAAAGTTAAAAGAAGAAAACAGTGTTGCTGAGAAAAACAAAGAAGATAGTGGTGACTTGATGGACACTGAGAGTATAATGTCTGATATTTCTGCAGAGACTGATTCATCCCCACCACGCCCTCTCAAAGTTAAAATTAAGGTCCCTACAGGTAGCATCACCAAAACCATAGCCAGTTTGACGCCTATGAAAAACGCAAGAATCGCGTCCAAGGCTGTGGGAGGTTCAAAAGCATCGGTGGAACATCAGAGCACAAACTCAAAGAGGGGTTCATCTCAGCGACTTCAGTCTCCTGCAGCAGCCGTGATCCAGGACATTTGTCCTGCAAAACCAGAAAGTGCCAGTGAAGCGAAACAGAAATGTGTCACGGACAAAAAAACTACAGTTACATCCACAGACGCGGGCAGTAAAACCACATCGATGCCCTCCGTCTCCTACCCTAGAATCAGCTCCGGTGTGGTCACCCTGCGAAGTCTGGGCCAGAAGGCGATAAAAAGGGGGACGTTGCTTCCCTCACCATCTCCTCTGCACCCTCCCCAAAGCAGCGGCAAACCAGCCTCCATTGTCAACAACACTGGGGCCATCATATCCAAGAGTCAGACCAGTCTGGTCGAAGCCTTCAACAAAATTCTCAATAACAAAAACCTGTTGCCCGTTTATAAACCAGACCTTAGTGCAGCTCTTCCAGCAGAGTGGGGCGTTCCTCTGCCAGCACAGGTAACACGGCATTGTGTCTAGTCCTGAAGAAAAGAATGTTTTTTTTTTCAATGTTAATATCCATCAGAAACTATTTGTACTGATGAGAAGTTTCAGTTTGAAGTTCAGTTGTTGCCTTTGCCCCAGAGCAAGATGATCAGGGGTTGCTGGTTCGATCCCTGTTCTTTCAGTTTGCATGTCATCGCACGTCACATCCAGTGCGTCTACAAAGACTTTTGTAAGCAGCGAAGGGCAGTTTCCATAATTCCCAAGAATTCCCTTCTTCTTTTTTATGGACTTAAAAAAAATTGCTGACATCATTAGCAACTTCTAAAAAAAAATCTGAACCCCATGCACCCCCAGCGCGTGCACACACACACACACACACACACATACAGAAAGATAAGTAAACTTACTTGTCTGTTGAAGTTGGTTTCATTTTGGAAACAGCACGATGTCCTGCTCTTTTTTTATAAACATGAAATTTCATGACATGGTTGTCAAATATGCTGAAAACGTTGCTAACAGTGCCATCACCAAAATGAAGCCGACTTCAGCAGACAGCTGATCAGTTTTGTCATTTAACCCTTGTGAGGTGTTAAACTAACAGGTTTGTCCTGAAAAGAAGTGAAGATGTTGTTACGTATGTTACATTTGTTACATCTCCCTCTCAGGGTTACCGTTGTTTGGAGTGCGGCGATGCCTTTGCCCTGGAGCAGAGTTTGGCTCGACACTACGACAGGCGCTCCCTAAGGATTGAAGTGACGTGTAACCACTGCGCCAAACGCTTGGCCTTTTTCAACAAATGCAGTCTGCTGCTGCATGCCAGGGAGCACAAGGAGAAAGGACTGATCATGCAGTGTTCTCATCTGATCATGAAAACCGTGCCGGTGGACCAGATGATCAGTCGGCTGGATCCCACAGCAGTCGGTTAGTGAGAAAAAGATCGGCCTCTGAATCAGTGTCACTGTGTGCTTTGTTTTTTAAGTTTCAGCCTCATCTGTCGTTGACTTCTAACATGTTTCGCTTCAGCTCCAACATTGTCTTCTTTAGGGTCAGTGACCTCTGCCCCAACACAACAGTCACACAAAGCAGCTACCAAGAGACCAGACGAAGTGCAGTATGTTGGCAATAAATGTCCTGAGTGTCTGACACAGTTCAGCAGCAAAGAAGAAGTGGCTGAGCATTTCAAGGAAATCAAACCAGGGCAAACTACAGTGGTATGTGTGTGTGTGTGTGTGATAAAGTTGCATTTCATTTGTTTTGTCATGTTATAAAGGGCTCTTCCGTCTGTCGTCTTTTAGCCGTGCACAGAGTGTTCTCCACCCATGCTCCTGCTCAATAGCTGTAGCGCAGCAGCGCACCGTCGCATCCACCAAAACAGCCAACCACATGTTTGCCCTGAGTGCGGGGGAACCACCAAGCAGTCATTATTCCAAACACACCTCGAAAAGTCCTGTTTGCATTTTTCCCGCCGTATAGGATACAGGTGAGAAATCTGACATGTTTATTGATATTGTATGTCAGCATTTTCTACTCGTGATTTCCGTCTCTGACCCTGAGGCATTTTCTACTCGTGATTTCCGTCTCTCTGACCCATTTCAAATCTGTTTTTCTCTCCTGCTAGATGTTCCAGTTGCCTGGTGGTGTTTGGTGGCCTGAACTCGGTCAAGTCCCACATCCAACAGGCCCACTGCGACACCTTTTACAAATGCCCCACCTGTCCCATGGCTTTCAAATCTGCCCAGAGCATCCAGGATCACGTGACCGCTCAACATCCAACGGTCACTGAAGGACAGACAATGTACTTCACACTGGCCCTTACACACACACTGATTCACAATCATGAACATCACTGTGTTTCCCCCTGCAGTTAACCAAGACTTTCCTTTGACTCTTTTACAGATTGATTTATAAATGTGTGATGTGTGACACTGTTTTTACCCAAAAAACACTGCTGCACATCCATTTTGAGACTCATCTGATCAACCAGAAGGTGCACGTGTTTAAGTGTCCTGAATGTACCAAGCTGTTCTCTCAGAGGAATTCACTGCTGGAGCATGTAAAGGTAAAAATACAGCACGTTAACATCATAGAATTCTACTGACTCTGTCTCCGGCTTAACTCTAACAAGTTGAGTTAACTCAGAACTGCATTAATTAGTGAACATATTAACGTTGATAAAGTTGACCGTTGTCCTCAAATGTAGGTGTAATTATTTGTTTTCCTAATTAAGTAATTGTTTGTTTGTCTTTAGACTCACAGGACTGTCACAGTAGAAGAAGAACTGCCCTCGTCTCCAGCTGCTTCATCCAACCCACGGCCTTCTGTGAAAGTAGAAAGCTCAAACGATGATGAACAGATGAGTGGAGGCAAACCCAAAAAAGTAAAGTCAGGGAGCACGAAGGCACCTTCAGGATGGAAGTGCGCACCGTGTCATGCACGCTACACAGAGCGGGAGGAGTATCTCACTCATATGGCCGAACAGCATGGAAAAGTATTTGGATATTCAGTATCTTTTTATCTTTTTTTTTTTCATTAAAACAATTGTGTTGTCTTCACCAACATTTTTCATTAAAACAATTGTGTTGTCTTAACTGACGTATGTCCTTATGTTGTGTAGATTTTGAAGAAGTTTCCTTGCAGCAAATGTGAGAGCTCCTTCACCACAACCTCCAGTCTGCAGCGTCACATCAGGGACAAACACAAAGTCCCAAATCGTGGCTTTCGATGCCAGTGAGTACTGTTACTGTGAGGACATTTGCAGCTGACTTCTGTATCTCTTAATTATATTAAAATATATAATATAAATACATAACAATATATATAATATAGAATGGATGTATATGTATATATGAACATATATATGAATCATGTTTTATTGTGATCATTTCTACATTTAACTTTTGTAAAATCTAACTCTTAAGATGTTACGTCTGTGAAATAACGTCCGTTGTTATTCCAGTGATTCCAAACATGGAAATTCATGCACTTCCTTCCGTCCCTGTGTAGGTTCTGTACTGGAGGGAAAAAAATGTTCAGCACTAAAGATTTGCTGGAGCGACATGTGAAACTCAGGCACAGCGTGGAGTCTGTAATCCAGGATCAACTGATGGTTGGTTGTTTTGTTTTTCAGCCACATATGAAGACGGCAGCGCTCACCGTTATTTAAACTCTAATCTTTATGTTTGGACACAGGACAGTGAAGACGAGGTTGACAGCTCGCCTGAACAGGGAAAACCCTTGAGGACTCATCGGACACGGAGACAATTTGTCAAGATGGAACCTAAGGAAGAGCTCCCAGAAGGAATGTCTCCTATAAAAAAGCCACGCCCATCATCCTCTGCTTCAATTCCCGAGTCCGGATTTCGCTGCGCTCACTGTGGCTATGTCACAGAGGAGCAGGCGTCCTTCCTGGAGCACATCAGCCAGCACAGGCGAGGAGGGACAGCAGGTGGCGACCTGCAGTGTCTGCAGTGTGGTGCCTGCTTTACATCCACGTCTTCATTGTCACGCCATCGCTTCATCATGCACAAAATGAGAGACACGGCCCCCGATAACCAAAGCCTCAGTCTGCCCTCAGCAGCTGCGTCGAACCACAGCGATAAACAGGATTCCACGGCGCCGTCCTCTCCCTCCTCTCAGCCGTCTGCAGCCAATGACACGGAGGAGGAGGACTCACTGGGCTGTAAGGTGTGTGGCAAACATTTTGAGAGAGCGTCAGATTTGAATACACACTTTAGAACTCATGGTATGGCCTTTATTAGTGCAAGGAATGTAGGAAAAACAATCTAAAGGTCAGGTATGTGAAAATGCCGTCACGTATTTTGAAGACAATAACTATTCCTTATTCCTTATATGGCTAAAAACGTCTCAGTGTAATTAATGGTGATCTGACATAAATTCTGATTTAAAAGTTACATTACTTGTTTTCATTAATCATAATATGGAAAATATAACATGTTACCTTCTCTTCCTGTGCAAATTTCCATCCTAAAATTGTTATCTGCAAATTCAACCTTTTGATTTTTAAGATATGCCACGAGTCTTGGGCCGCACGTTGGCAAAGTGATTGTGTTTTTGCATTACTATAAGAATGTCACAGGTTTGAGCCCAGATGGTAACTTTGAATGTTCATGTTTTCTCCTTGGACTCATGTTTCCTCTCACAGTCCAGCTGGCATCATGTTGAGCTTTAATTCCACCACCACAACATTTCCAGCCTCCAGTTTCTTGACCATTGTGCAGAAAAAGTCAAATGAGTTCCAAACACTGCTACACAGAAAAACATAGAGAGAATTAGGAAAAATAAAACGTTTTATCTTTGTCTGACACTGACGCTGTTACGGGCGTCAGACTTACATTATATTAAGTCATTCCTTACAGCTTAGTAGTAACAGTAGCAGGGGAACTGTTGGTGTAGCTCATTCACGTCGGTGATAGTTGTCATTGTTTTCACGCATGTCTTTCTGTGATGGCGACTGTCAGTAGAATTTGATTGACAGCAACATTTCGAATCTCAGTAGTACTGAAACGTCTGTTGAACAACTCAAATCTTTTTGAATGTTATTGGACAATTTTGTTTTTTGTTTTTTTCAAGAACCTACGTCAAATTGGACAGTGTCAAATAATCTTAATCTTTTCTAGGGAAAAAAATTAAAATCATATTTTGATAACATTTTAGATATCTCTAGAATTCTACAAGCCTTCTCAAAAATCAGATTAAAAATATGAATTTAATTTTTGTAGATTTTTACAACTGTACTGGCTTCGAATAATAATTTGATAATAATTAATTCAGAGCAATGGACGAGTGAAATATAATTCAACATAATTTCGGTCAGTCTTGACTGTCTAGTGATCGAGATGCACTTCCTGTTTGGAAGGTTAGTCCTTGCATATCCTTATATGACACGATACTAAAACATCTTCAATGATTTATTTACACTTAATTTTTTTTTTGTCTGAATGGCTGTAAATAAGAGTGTCATCAGTGTACGTTTGAACCTGAAGTTGTGTAATGCAGAGCCTATTGTCAGTCAAAATCCACATTAACAGAAAAACAGACGACTGAAAGTTGAACTTTAGGGTTGCAGTGTTTTAAATATTTAATAGTTTATCTGCACGTTTTATGTTAAAGCTGTTCACATTATAGTATCTGACGATGAAGAAATGCATATATATATCCATATATGCGTATACATGTGTATATATTCATGTATATGTAAATGCATACATACATACTCATATGAAATATATATACATGTGTTCACATATGTGATATACACATATATGTATATATGTATGTGTATAATGTACTGCATTCAGGACTCACCTATTCTATTCATACATTCTCAGGCGCTTTATTCAACCTTTTTATCCTTTTAAATGTTTGAATTAAGACCACAATTTCTCACCAAAAATAATTTTTCAAAATAAAAGCCATTTATATAAAAAAAGGTCACCTCTCATACTTCATTCCAAACATCATTGAAGCTGCAGACATATTTAACATTTCTTCAATTTATTTGTATGTTGTGCATTTTCTCTACATTGAGTTTATTTTTTCCTCCCTTCAGGACAATTATCTAAATATATCTCTTAAGAAATAATCAAAACAGGCTTCATAGGTTGCTTGACAACTCCCGGTTGGTCTTTCAAGGTTTGAAAAGGCCTTAAAACGAAATGTAAAACTCTGCAAATGCCTTTGGCAAAATTAAAAAAAAAACAAATTTGGATAAAACGTGATTAACTTTTGAATGAAAACTGTTCAACTTGGACTTCACCGGGGTCCTTGTTGTGCTCGTGTACTTTGGTCTTCTAGAACTACTTAGTTCTAGAGTTATTAAGTGCTGAAAAAGCTTTAACATTGAAAGTGCTTTGCCAAGTGCTTGACGTTGACCTAGAAAATGGTACAAATCACATGCGTTACATTTGGTACGTGATACATTTTTATCAAAATAGATTGCACCTAAAACTAATGTTGAAAGATGAAGAATTATAGACGATAAGGAGTTCTAACACATCATAGACTATCAATTAAATAGATGACGATTAGATGATTATCACATGACGTACCTTTGACAGATGTGGTTGGTCACCACTAAGTTTAAGTGAGTAAAATTACAGCAACGTCAGCAGTCTGTGTTAAATATTACAGCATTCCATTCCTGTGCAGGTATATTAGAAGTTGTATTAAAAATATCTGCTTGTTTATCTAAAGCGTTAGCCAGTTTTGTTACAGGATCATCTGGTCTCACAGCAGCAGGAAGCCCAGGAGGAAAACAAGAAGGAGTTTCATAAAAGAGATTCCCTCGGCGCTCAGCGATGGAGCTCCTGTGGGAGGAAGTGATGTAAGAATTAAATACTTATATACTTTACTTTTGTTTTTATAAAATGATTGATGGTTATTTACTCTTAGTGTCTGAGGAAGTGAAAGGAAAATGTTTTTTTGAAATAACTGGACAGTGATGTGATATAAATATCTTACGAAAAGAAGCTAAGAAATAACTTTCTCTAAACTGTTTAAAATTCAAAATCTGTTTTTATTGTCAAACAGTAGCTCGCATTGCTGAGTCTTCTTACCTGAGGTGGTCTTTGCCACCAAAGACCCAGCCGCAGCTCTTTCAATAGCGGCTCGTTGCTTGGCACTCAGTGCATTTAGTTGTTCAGTGGTAACCTTGGCAGCATTGTCCGACCCAAGAGCCTCGAGCTGAACCTCTGTGAGAGCCTGAATTAAAAAGAAATAACAGGTTCACAGTTTAATGGCTGATATTACAACGTGCTTACACTCAGCAGTGAGGCTAACGATTTAGCCTCGTAAGAGACTCCTGATGTCCACGTATTGAATAAAATCGTAGCCCCGAACTTAGCGTGTCCGTACATGTCACACATGTTTTTAGCTTAAACTTATTTCAATCTTCAATCTTTACGTTGCAACATAAACAAATACACAATTACATAAACCGAAATTGCATAAATATTGAAAATTATATGTATTTAACAATCACAATTTCTACAAATCTAGAACTTTTGAAGTTGTGTCGTGTCTTTCCTTATTCATTGTAAATGAAAAAACTTACAGCAAAGTTTTCTGCTGGTATGAGTGGTATGGTGGTGTCCCTGATGTATGATAAGACAGCCGTGTTCAAAGACGCTAACTCAGTTGCGTCCAGGCCAGCTGCAGGAAGCACAGAGGAAATATTAGCGATTTAGCAGTGACCGCAGAATTCTGTGAAAAGTTTCGAACACAGCGTTTTTTTTTCCTGCTGCTCACCCATCATGTTTCCTAGTTCGTTCACTTTGGCCTCTGTCCAAGTGTTGGGCTCTCCGAATGCTGTCACAGCAAGACTTTTCAACTGCTTTGCGATGTTGTATGAGCATCGGATGTCATTGAGTGATCCCACAGCATCCCTTTTAAACACACACAGATAGAGTTAATACTGTGTTTTGTATTTTGTATTATAGTTTTTTTTTTGCTTTGTGGCCTCTAAACCTCTAAACTAGGGCTGTCAAACTCAACTTCACAGTGGGCCAAAATTAAAAACTGGGATGAAGTCTCGAGCCAAACTCAATATTTATTGAAAAATTGACTGGAAATGTGCATGTTTTCCCTTCTCTCCAGAAACGTAATGTTGAATTTTATCAGTAGATCGTTAGTAGATATAGGATGGGTGTGTTGTGTGTGCTTGTGTGTAGCACAAACTTGAACGCCTCTTTGTTGAGCTGACTGATTTCATTAGGGCTGAGGCCACACATGAACTGGTTCAGTGCAGCCATCTCTGTGACTCCCAGCTTCTGCGCTGTCAGGTTATTGTATGTAGCGATGCCTTTCCACATCGATCGCATCTATGGAGAAAAAGGCGTCACAGTTAGAACCGATCAAATACGTCTACCGTCATAGTTATGAGCAACACATTTGACTCTCTGTTTCACCTGCTGCTCTGTCCAGCCACATGACTTGATCGCATCCAAATTGTCCAATGAGAAGGGAAGCTTCTCCAGGTCGCCGTCAGAGAATCCCCTGTTGATGCACCCCATCTTTTGCACCACCTCCTCAGTCAGTGTTGACACAGAGCCGAAGGTCTGCCAAAGCAGGTAAGAACAGCTGTAAGTTAACAGTGCTGCTCATAAACTCCTGTGGTCAATAACAAGTGAATAATCACCAATAAACCTGAACCTGCTTGTTATAGGACTGTGATAAAACACCATACAAAAACGTCATCAGTTACCACCGGCATCGAACCGGCACTCTTCTATATTGTAAGGCTAGAGTACTAACCACCATGTCACTCTGCAGCCTTGGACTGATCACCGTGAATAACACAGATAAAACCGTACCGCGTGCATTCATACGAGTCAATCTCGGAGCGTTGACCCTAATCTCGTGAGATTACAAATTAGGTTGTTTCGAACCCTGTGTCTCCATTCACTCTTACTTTACCTCCGTTGCCTTTTTGCTGAGCACAGACAGCTGCTCCACACTGTAACCCGTGGGCGTTCCGAGCACTTGTACGGTAGCACGAAAGACTTCAATTGGAATCATGTTCAGCTGCCCCAGTGTCCAGTAGACGTTTCCATCGCCGAGTTCTTCAATTATCGCCGCGGTGGGTGTAGTTGACGAGACGCTCCGAACTGCAGCGACAAGCATAAGAAAACACAAAGACATGATACGTTACTGGACGTAACCAGAAAGACGCGTCTGTCTCTCCCTCACCTGTTCTCCTCTTTCGTGCTGTGGTGGATTCACTGACGGTGAGGTTGAAGAATTTCTCATTTACTGCTTCTGAGACATTGTTCAGACTCGGCCGCATGTCATCAATGATGTCCTTCATCCAGGGCTAAGAGTCGACCACAGAGAAGAAAAACATGTCACGAAAAATAAGAAACATTTTATGAGGAGCGTAACTGTGAAAAGATGACGACACACCACGGGGATTTGTTTCGCAAGACCCATGATTCCCAGTTGGGAACGATCGGCGATCGTAGTTTGTTGGTGCAGGAAATCAAGAATGTTCTCTTTATTTAAAGCCAAATCTGGAGGCTATTGACTAGTGTGAACAGATTTCCAAATCAAAACAGGTGTTGCTGACAACTAATATAAAACAAAGGGTGACTAGTGTGAACAGATTTCCAAATCATCGGTAAACAGGTGTTGCTGACAACTAATACAAAACAAAGGGATTTACAAGAATTTATTTACAAAGGACAGCAACGTCAAAAATAATCTCGATCACTTTTTGACTGGTGGGTCCTAAAACTTGACTGGGGTCAGGAGTGTTTGTATGAACCAAAACAAATGACACATAAAAGTCATAAAGGCTAAAATGCTAAAACACTTTTTTTTTACGCCATCTATAGAGAAATGTGAGTATTGCAGGTAAAAGGCAGAAGTTTAATTATAACAGGAATTAATAACATAATTTGGAAATGTTTGGCAACCGAATTAAAAAGCCAAACGGGTAGAATTAGTGGAGAGCGGTGAAATCAGTCTCAGTGTTTCCTTCAAAAATCATTAGGACTAAGGACGGTGTGTGGTGTGTCCCCAGCTTAAAGATGCCTGTGAAGGCAGTGAGTGAAGATAATCACTTGATTGGGCAGAGCAGATACGGCAGAGTCGTCCAAAGAAAGTAATGGCCACAGAGCTTCCACCGTCTCCTGAGGGAACTCAGACAGATTCCTGCAGGAGATTTTTTTTAAAAATATTTAAGAACAAACTCATAAAATAAAATTCATAGATCTTTTGTTCCTGGTCTCACCCCGAGGGTTTTATCCTTACCCGTACGTCTCCTCGATCAGCTGGATTAGATCCGACCGGTGGTCTGCAGGGATGTACCGACACAGGGCCATGTCTTCCAGCGTGGCTTTGAGAACATCAGGGTCCATGAGTCTCAGCTGTGAGGCCGACAGCTCACAGCTGAGCTCTCCCAGTCTGGAGGTGTCGTCGACGGTCAGTGTGGACAGCGCCTCCCCCTGTGTCACACAAGGGTGAGACAGCTGATTCACCCGGGCTGCTAGCATGCTTCTATCAACAGCTACTGTCAACATGTACTGTACACAACAAACCCAGTTGTGCTGAAGCTTTTGTTTTCAAGGTCTTTACATTTAAATTCAATTTTCATTTACTTCTTATGGGATTACTATTAGAATTCTTTTTTTTTTTGTCTTATTCAAAGATGATCATGGATTATCCTTTAGATTTATTTTAGCTTCCTGTACTTTATAAACTATCTATATTTACTTTTTAAATTATTATTTTGTTGTCCATCTTTTTTTTCACCTGTTTCTACTATTTGGTTTAGTTTTTATTGATTTTGTCTTTACTAAATGTAATTTAACATCCTAACATCTCCTAACATCTGCATTAAATCAATTAGTCAAAATGATCTTGCTAATTTGACCTAACGTTTACCATTTTCTAAACTTTTATTCACAATGCTTTCAAGGTCCCAAAGGTTTTGAATTGATGTATATGGTTTGGGAAATTGTCCATATTTTTCAAGAACTGTTTGAAAAAAATAGCCGTGAACGAAGTTTTGAATGAAGTTAATAATCCTAATTCATCCCTACGTCACTGAATCACAGTGTGAGATCCCCTCGATGTGTTTTCTTCATCAAATATGGCCCCACTGTTAAACGTAACTGCAACTGGAAAGACCACACCCTTCACCATCGTCAAAAACACAAATGATTTCTGTTAAGTGTTCGTACTTCGGTCAGACAGTCAAGAGCCTTTTGGAGAAGTTTAGGGCGAGAGGGAGCGGCCCGCGGTAAGAAGGTCATGTTGACTTCTTCCATCTTGTCGAGGAAGGTGGGACACACAGAGTCGGGCAGGTCCTTGACTCTTGATGGTCTGGAGGGAAAAGTCAAACACTGGGTTATTTGAAATGTATCGTAGCAAAAAAGAGAAAGTGAAAAGGTAAAAGTGTTTCTTTACGGCAGATAAATGAGGAACAGGCTGGGGATCATGTCCAGTTCCTCCTCTGTGATGGTTTGGAAATAATCTTCTCTCTCTTTCTCCAACACTGCAAACAGTCTCCTGGCAGCACATTTAACCTGGAAATACACCGGCGTTACTCACTGTGTGTGTTTTATCAGGGCTGTTGAATGATGACGGTCCCTGGCAGTTCATGTGGTGTTTGAAGATCCAATTGCTTTGGTCAAATTTGGACTGTTTCCACAGTCCAAATTAAGTGGATGGATGGTGGAATTATTTATTACGTGTCATTTTGCACATGCGTTAAAATGGGTTAAAAACCCTTTAACCTCATTAAATTAATTAAGGATTTAAAATGTAAAAATATTTTTGACGCCCCAACACTAAGGATTTAAAATGTAAAAATATTTTTTTAATCCCAATATGATATACATTCATAACGTTATTACCGCCACTTTGTCGAGGAACTGTTGATTCTCAGAGAATTCCTCGGTCATGGTCAGTGTGTCGCCTTCGGCCACTTTGTCGATAATGGCACAGGATACTCCCCGCAGGAGGCTGATGTACTTCCTGTTCCAGCGATTTCAAAATGAGCACATCGAGTTGATTTAGTGAAAATTTGTGCTCTCTTAGCTAGCTAGCTAACACGTTCTAAGCCGTTAGCTAACAGGCTTCAGCTGTGATCTTACCTGAGAACAGGAAGCTTATGGAGGTCTTTTACTTTTTTGGCCAGAAATAATGCCTGAAGGAAAGAGATGGAGACATTGATTTGTTGGAACATTTGAAGAGGAAATAGGAAATATTTAAAGCTCTTACCTGTTGTTTGTTCCATGTTTTATTTCCCAAAGAACTGACGTCGGCATTTTTCAGGAAGTTCAGGGAAAGTCGTTCACGCAGTGATTCTGGTACCTTCTCCATCAGCTCAGAGGCGGTCACGCTCTCTGTTAGCTGCAGTAACAGTGCAGAGTTAGTTGACATGAACGTTGTCACACGCTGTGAGAGGATTATATCACTTTCTCTACATTTGTGGATTTCATTTTTTTAAGGACTTGCGTGTCACCCTCCTGACTCACCCGCTGCAGCATGGCCATCTTTTGTGCCTTGGAAAACTTCTTGGCGATGTTCTCCATAGTCTCTGGGTCATTCAGGACGTCCGCGGCTTTCAGCCTCTTGAGAACACACTGGGGCAAACCAGCTGCCATGGACTGAAGTTCCTTCAGCTCCTCGTGTGAAATGTTTCTGCACTGAAAGGGAAATATTCTGTCTTTAGGTCGGTGTGTCAGGCGAGAGGAAGGACTGCCACGGTGGTAGCCTCACCTTCTGACCTCCCAGCTTTCTCTTGATCAAAGCAAAAGCCTGGTCTTTTGAAAAAGTCACGTTACGTCCGAGGTTGTACAGCATTTGAATGGTGTTGTCTTTGGACATCAAAGTCTCAATAAGTTTCTTCTTGAGCTAAAGTCAAGGGAGAGAGAGAAGCGCAACAAGCTATCATTAGCCCACAGAGATTCAGGAGGGGGGGGGGAGTGAGAATGCACTGGCGTGCGTTGGTGGTGTCTGTGATACCTGCTTGATTCTGGGATGGTCGCAGCCGTCTAACTCTGGGAGGAGTTTGCTGCTGAGCTCAGGTGTCAGATCTGGAACTTTGTACCAAAAGCAAGCCAGAGGGCCCAGTCTGGAATGAAAGAAAATGCTGCCTGTGATGGTGCCATCCTGTTGTTGTTGTTTTTTTTTAATAAAATCAAACATTTGAGTAGCATGGATATATACTTTTCTATGTGCTCTGCCAACTGCTCCTTTTTGTTAAAGCATTGCTGGATCTTTTGGAGCCACTTCTTGCCCAGGCTGGGGCTCATCCTGGTCCCTCGGCTCAAGGTCGAGTTGAACTTGGCCGAGAGAAAGAATTCACAAAGCTAAAAGAAAGTAATGTAGCAAATAATTACAATGAATCCCCAAAGACATGATCACATGTTGCTACGTGCAAATGGAAACAGAACCAGAAGGTGGCAGTAATGACCCACAAGATGTATCGTCGCGTAAGCCCAAAGAAGTAGCGAGGCTAAGGAGCGGTAGCTTGGCCGAGCCTTAGCATATAGCATATTAGCATATTATAAAATTATATTATAAAATGCATACTTTCCCTTTAATTAAAGTTTAAAAAATCATTTATTTATTTCACAATAAACAAAAGGTGTGATGTGTTGTTTTTCGCAGTTCCTCACCTTCTCTTTGGGAGCAGAATCTATATCTCGCGGTGATAAGTCAGAGAGGTACGGCCCCATCATGGTCATGGCCTCCATGTTCAGCCATTGAAGTGAGGGCTTGCAGCGGTTCACTACAAAGAGTGGCGGATGTTATGTAGCTGTTGTTGTTTTAACCTGAACCTTTTTGTTTTTGTCCGTGACTTACCTGGCTTTCCTTTATTCTTTTCTGTGTCTGAGCCAGATGGCGGCTTCATAGTGCAGTTGAAGTAATTCTCAGTGATTTGCTCTTTTGCCCACTTTGCCACTCGGGCCCTGTTTTGCTTGGGTATGTTGGCATGAACCCGCCAGAGGGCAGAAATCCTGTTTTGAGAGACAACACAGAGCCTGATAAACAGATGTCAACAATCAAACAAAATGTTTTAGTTTGTTTTTCTGGTAAAGTGAAGAAGTTTTTACAAAAATGAGGTCCAGAAAAACTAAGGCTATTATTTAATGTATCTGGTCGTCGGTTGGTTCGGCAGGCCCGCAGACCACCAGTTGACAATCATTGTTTTAATGGGTTATGTTTGATTAATTATTACAGACAAAAGAACAATTTAAAAAAATGTAATTGTATTACTTGTTTACATAATAATTATGTAATTGCACTTTTTTAATTCATTGTATTTTACATCCCAGCCCTGTAGGTGGCAGTAATGTGCCTTAGGTTTTTTTTTCTGAGGCAAAATAGGATTCACTGACTGAATGTTTTTGTTTTAACTTTTGTGATAATTGTGGTGAAAAGAGTGTCATATCAGATGAAAAAAAAAATTCAAAATGACCTCTGTCTTTTTTGTAATCACATCCCAGCACCGACACAAACATCAAATGAGACTTACAGCCTTTTCATTTTTTCAAGTTCTACTTTGGGTGGAAACTTGAATGCGGATGACGGCAGGTCCCGCAGCGCGTCCTTGGCCGACCACAGCAGCGTGTCAAAGTCATCCATGTTGAGGGCGTTCATGTCAGTGTTGTTTTTGTCCTGTGCAGTCAGAATCATCCAGGAGATCGGAGCCATGAAGGCCTGCATGTAACACGCAGTGGCGTTTTCCTGAGAAGAGAGACGACATGTGGCGTTAGCGAACATCGTGTTGACGATTGTGCTGGTGATGCTGACGACAGTTCACTGACAGAGGAGTTCTTCATCAGCACGATCATGTCTCGCAGGTGGGTGCAGTTCCACATCCTCTCCATCTATTAAAAAAAACGTGAGGAAATTAAGAAAAATATACGATTTTTGTTGACTTTTGTGCAAGTTGATATTTGGTGCATGAACAATTGTGTGTGTGTGTCTCTTCCTACTATTTTATCCGTGGAAGTTTTGGGGATTCGGCTGAGTGGGTCCCTGTTCATGACTGAACTCAGCAGAGCAGTGAGGAGGAACTTGGGTGAGTTGTCAATCGCATCCATTAAAGAAGAATTACTGCAATAGAAAAATAATTTAATAATTTTCAGCATTGACCAAGAGTGTAAGAAATTAGTTATCAAAAAAATTGTATCCACTAAAAATAACAGAAAAGTTTGTCTTAATTAAAAAATTGTATCCACTAAAAATAACAGGAAAATCCAGTTTGTCTTAATAGAATTAAAAGGTTCTTTTAAGACAAAAAACAAACGGTTTAAACTAACTTGGATGATATGTGGCACCAAATGATGTTGATGAATGTTGGCTGAAAAAAATAATTTAATTTTTGGCCATAAGCTCAACAAGTGACAAATGTCACTCGTTAATTAGGAATGTTACGAAGATTGTGTCTCTCTATGTTGATGACATTGTGGTGTACATGATCAAAACAGTCCCAATTCCTTATTGTTTTTGGCAGCTATCGAGGTAAACAGAAATCTTGAATAATTTTATTTAATCATCACACATTTCTGCTGACATTGACAAAGACTTTCAGGAATATTTCATAAAAAAAAACCCAAAAAATTAGCCTCTGAGTTTTTTTGGAAATCCTGACTAAATTACCTGGTATTAAAAACAAAGTGTGTCTTGGGCGGCTGGTATCCTGTAACAAAGCAATGGTTCACATTTACACACTGCATCGTTCAACATGTTCAGACAGAGACAAAATTCCACCTTAGTCGTGACTCATTCAACTGTTATCGCTTGTGCGTTCACACACAGACATTCACACACCCAGGGTTGGGATTATCCTGGGATTCAGACGGTGAAGTAACTCTGTCATTCAAACAAAACAAAAACCAACGAACTTTATGTTTTTCATGCTTTGATTTGTGTGAGTCTTCTCACCCTTGTCCTGACACCTCCTTATCTGAAAGGAAGAAAAAAGGCATAACATCTCACTCTCGGTTCAGACACGTATTTTTAAATATATCTTTAAACGTCAAAGCACTTTTAGCTTCCTGCTCATAACTCACCAATTTCTGGGTTATGCCACGGAAGTTTGGCTCCATGTGCTTGGAAGTCACTGTGCAGAACAATTTAAATGAATGGAGTTAAAGTTAATGTTAGCAGTACGTGGTAGTATAACAAGAAAATACTAATATGTGTAACATGTCAGAATTTAATTTTACTTTGCAGTTTTACTTTGCTTTGTTGCTCTGTTCCCCCCAATTTTTTTACGGAGATCTTTTTTTTTTTTGGTTTACGAACGACAGATCTATGACAGACAGGTCTAAGTCATTCACTCCTGTCTTTTCTGAGAGATCAGACCCCTAACAACCAGTCATTTTTGTTCATCATTCTTGACCTCACGTTGACACTTTAAATGAACTTGTCTGTCTTTAAAATAATAAAGCACGGTGCATTTAAAAACATTTTGTAAATTATTATTATACATACCCAGGAAACACTTTACATTAATGATAAAATGATAATTCCAATGAACAGAAAACACACACATTTGCCAAATGCACAATTGTCATCAATCATAATGTGATGAACAGAAAACACACACATTTGCCAACTGTCATCAATCATAGTGTTAATAATTCTTACCCAGAACTGCACAGGCCGCAAAGAAAAGAAAGGAAAACGTCCGGCTTTGTAAAGCCATGTTGGACAACACTGCTGCACCTGTCTGTCGGACAGGAACACAGGGTTAATGTAGTGTATCAACAATAATAATAATTATAATAATAATAATAATAAAGTGCTTTTTTTTCTACTTGATGCTTCACAAAACAGTTTATATTTTATTTTCCATTTCGTAATAAATAATTGCACGTGAGGATTTTCACAGCTTGGTCTCCACTGGTGACAGGATGCAAACCACCTGCAGTTTTCAGACTAAGATCTCGCCCCCAAACCCCCCCGGAGGACTGGTGATCATATACTGTCTTAGTTACCTTCCTATGGGAGGCTGTGGAGACTTGGAAGAGAACACGCTGTGAAAAACAACTTAATTCAGACACGTGCTGTACTAAAGACGCACTGACCTTCACACAGGACTGAAATCATTTGGGCAGCATTTGCATCAGTGTGTTTTGACTTCATCAAGTTTTGTTTTCTATATTTTGCATCTAAATTTAAATATTCACTCTCATTTCATAACCTGCACAGGGAAAATAAGAGATTTTAATAATTTATGACTGTGATTTCACAGGTCTCTGTTTACCAGGCGTCAGATGTTGGTGAATTTATCCTGTTCTGACAACTGTGACGTCATGTGAGGATTAAAATTATATAAAAACACCAAATCACTGCAACCTCAAAACTCAAAACTTTTCAAAGTGGTTGTAAGTTTATAAAAGAACAAATTTCTTTTTTTTTTAAAAAAATCTATGTTATTCCTTTAATTTCTGACAATAAAACAGAATATAAAATAAATATGTGTACTTACACAGTCCTGTGTCAGGTCGCTGCTGGTTCAAAATTATTTAAAATAGAAATAGTTACCTTTTTTGTTTGTTTGTTTTTTTTCTTTTAGACGAGTGGCTCCCTCTCTGTCTGCAGGCTTGGTTGTTACTTGTCCTCCTCTTAGTCAAAGCAGGTGCACTATAAATGCAGGCAGTTTGGGTGTGTGTATGTGTGTGTGTGTGTGACACCCACACACACGCAAAGGGAGACAAGAGAGGAAGACAGGGAGAGAGAGAGAGAGAGAGAGGCGAGGCATAAAAAAAAGATTTCATCACTGTGATGCCAACTGATATGAAGGAGTAGAAACACAAAGACTGAAGCGGGAACATATTTACCTTAATTAATTTTTAGGTTGAAATTGTAATGTACCAGATCATATGTCATGGCCAGAAGCTTGACCACATAGAAAAACTAAATCTCAGCAAACAAACCAACAAAGAAAGGAAGCTGACCGCGAGTCAAAGCTCCGCCCACACCCTGACAGGAAGCTGGCCAGAGTAAATGGCAGCTCCAGTGGATCATGTAGAGAACAGTTCTGTGCTACAGCAGAACTATATGATGTTGAGGTCTGTTTTTTTATTGGTGACATAGAATTATTTAAATTATTCTATTGGAAAAACTACCATATTTTCTGGATTATAAGTCGCACTTTTTTCCTCCTTTGGCTGGGGTTGTGACTTCTATATTAAAACATATAATTTCACGTTTGTAATTTCCACACTGACAGCCACTAGAGGGCACTGGTGCAACTTATGCTCTGGAGCGACTTATACATATATATATATATAACTGACAGCCACTAGAGGGCACTGGTGCAACTTATGCTCTGGAGCGACATAGATATATATATATATATATTTTTTCTTCATTATGCATTTTTGGCTGGTGCGACTTATACGCAGGGGCAACTTTTATATTAAAACATATAATTTCACGTTTGTTGTACTAACATTTTTGGCTGGTGCGACTTATACGCAGGTGCAACTTTTATATTAACTAAAACGTGAAATTATAACTTTATATGAAGTCGTCACCAAGTCGTCAGCCGAAGTCTTACTTAGAACTCTGTGAAGCTGGTTGAGATGGTATTTCAGAACGATGACACGTCAATCCTTGGTTACAATCTTGTTTTTTTACATCCCATGTTTTGTTTGTTGTTTTGTTGACGTTTCGATAGATAGTGAGCTTTATTGGCCAACCATGAAAACTTACCAGACCAGCAGTTTGACTCTTAGATTTAAGGACCTAAAAGGGCAAGAAACTGAACTGAATAAGTAAAACGTACAGTAAGAACTTTTAACTTGTCAACATTTGACTATTGTGAGACTGTTGTCTGCTGTACAAACAAGGTGAAGGAAACAGGAAATCCATAAAACATCCCACAAGTCTAAATTAAAGGTTCATTTATACACTTCAAACAGTCAAACATTTTAACAGGTTTTACACACGTGTGTAAACCCATTTACTGCTTTATTACAGTTCATTCAGCTTCCACTTATGAACACTGTGGTCACACAATGGTCCTTTAATAAAAACAGTGTTTCTCAAATAATTCTACATTTTCATTAAAAAAAGAATCCAGGTTTAATTTTTTTATTATTAAAAAGAATCCAGGTTTAATTTTTTTATTTTTTTTAGCAGAATACTTCACATACTACTGCTTAGCACTAAAAATCAATCATAATACATTATAAATAATATCAGAATTAAATGACAGAATGAATGAAGCAATGACTGAACTCAACTGTATATGTCCGGTTCTCTCAGAAAGGTTGGGCAAATACTTCCAGGATGATTTCATATATATCTTTTCCAGTCATCCTGATGTGACATGATACTGCAGGTATCTCACAGTCACCTCGTTGACATGTGTAAACATGATCATGTGATGGTTGTGGTCAACAGTGCGTAAAGCCCATAGGATTTCCACTGCTCATTAGGGTTTCATCACACTTATTAGGAATGCCATTACAACCTCCCTGGGCTGACGCCCAATATATGGCGATCATATACGGCTGACACAAACAAAAGGACTGACCTGCTTCAAATGTGTTTTGCTCAACATAGAAAAGAACAGAAATTAGGTCAAACAATGCTGTGAATGTCGTCTGAGGTTCAGTCCAAGAAACTGTTTTCTTCCACCTTGGTGGTAACGTTGATGTGAAGGTTTGGGTTGGTGAAGTGATCTGAAAAACAAATAAAAAAACAGACACCAGGTGGACCAGTGTGTCACGTCCAGTACTCTCTTTATTCCTATGGAAGTTGTTCTCAAACTAAGGTACACATTCCCCTGGTGGTACGTGTGCTCCCTGTGGTGGCCCCCACAGGGGCCGGGTTTTAAACCAGCATAACCTCTGATCACATGCACAATCCTGAAACGACTAAGTTTCAAACTTGTGTGTTTCAAACTTGCCTGCAGCAAACTCCAGAATGTCATCAGGCCTTTTAAGAAGAACATTTCTACAAGAGAATAAAGGATTATTGTTTTTAGGCTAATGTATAGCATGTGTCAATATGTAATGAAGGAAATATATCACTGTAAAATAAATAAGTAAAGTAAAAGTAAGTAAAAAGTACTAAACAAAAAAAAACATTAAATAGACAAAAGACAAAAATAACATAACGTTGTTTTTTTTTAAATGGGCATAATCTTTCATTAGAAAATGTTAGTTTTAAAAAGTGTTGTGATATGCTAAGTGTAAAGCGTAAAACAGAATCACAAAAAGGAAATCTGAAACCGACCTGAGGAAGTCTCCTATCATCAGCTCCACTTCCGGGTGTGCCATCAAATAAGACTCGTTTTCGATTCGTGTCTTAATCTAAAAAATGTTATCAACAATTACAGCGAAATTACAGCGAACATGTGTATGTTTCTGCGGTGTCGTAAGTTACCTTGAACTGTCGCAGCTTCTCCTGCTGCTCGGAGCTCAGAATATTAATGCCCAATTTGTTCGGAACATTCTGTTCAGCCATTGTGATACTATAACAATCACAGACACATAGATGCCGAGGACAATGCTATAACGGCGTCAGGGTGCTCAGAGTCATCTGTTTCTGGCAGTGTTTGTAACGTCCCCATAGAAACCAATCTGAGCAAATCACAGATCGTTCCACGAGGGGGCAGCAAAGTGAATAATACAAGAACAGTGAGGGACAGAACTAAGTTAATGTAACGTGGCTAATTTAAATAAAAAAGACATCCTAGCCTATAACAAGAGGACCCCTTTTCTTAAAAAAACAGACATCCTAGCCTATTACAAGAGGACCCTTTTTCTTGAAAAAAACAAAACAAAAACCAAAGAAACAAAAAACGTATACAATTTATTTACAATCGACTTATTTACTACCCATTGCAACTGAAATACATCGTGACTTACTCGTGTAGTAACAACAAATCCAACATAGGTCTGAAACACGTACAAAACACACAAAACAAAACACATGTGACATTGTGACTTTTACATCTAAAGGCTATAACTATTATAATCACGCCCCTTTTTATTATTTACGTCCACTTCCACCACTGAATGAACTATTCCATTACACTGCGCACGCGCAGAAAATATTCCGGAAGTCACCGGCAAAACAAACTTGCTGGCGCGGTGTTGAAGCAAAGTTATTTCGGCGGCTCTAGGAAGACAGTTCGTACAGAATAAAACAAACATTTAGTCAAAACTACAACCATGTGTCCTTACCCTTTTCACGAATAAGCCCAACGTGAGAAACCTACAGCAGGAGCCTGAATAGTGAATTCCCCTCACGGCGTTTGTAGCACTGAAGCCCACTTCCGTTAGCCTCGGCCCAGGACACACTGGTGGTGGGGGGAGTGATTGCTACTCGTCGCAATGAAGATGTGAGTATTCAAACTGTTGTACTGTATTTCAATATTTCACTTACTAAACATATTTAATTTGTGTCTAAAATGACACCAGAAGTGTGTGTGTTTAAGTGATAGATGATGAGAGAATAATAACAACAGACTTTTAGCTTTTATTGCTGGTTAAGGCAAAAAACAAAAACAAAAAAACTCTAGGCCTAATTACTGAAGCCTGTCTGGTCAAATATGGATGTTTTATTATGTATTTTCACTTTACTTACTGCAATGGAATGTACACTATTTTCATTGATGCTCTTAGAAAAAATATTCATTTACACTAAGACATTTACATTTTTACAAAGGCTCTTAAGTCTTGACCTAACCTAAGAAAATAAAACAACTTTGATGAGGTGTTCTGTTGAAGCCGTGATTTTGACTAAAGCTCATTAAAGTTTCCCAGTCTTTGGGTATTGACGTGAGATCAAGCCTGAGAGATGTTCCTGGAAAGTTATTTTGGGTTTTTGATCCAGTAACTTTGTCTCATTTCTGATGACAAAACATCTATCCCAAAATACGAAATGATAAAAAGTCATTGCTTCTTCCGCACCCTTTTCGAGTGGAACCTCAGCCAGTCTGCGTCCAGAAATAGCTATGGTTGTTAAAATGCATTGCTTCTGTTTCCTCCTCCTCCTCCTCCTCCTCCTCATCTTCTTCCTCCATTTCTTCATCTCTGGCTTTAGTGATTGGAGGCTCTTTGTGACATGGAGGGAGAAAAGTCACCAAGGCCTGTCCCTCTGGGGCAGCAGGGGTTAACACTGCAGGTTGGGTTGACTCACTGGACTGGTTGACGATTCTTGAGAGGTTAAGTTTAGATAATATCTGTTTTTTGTGTCTGTAATTCAAAAGATGAAAAGACACTGTTCATTAACTAAGATCAACTTCAGGTTATCGTGAAAATAGGACATACATGCAACTCTTTGCTACTGATATAAACATAATCAGCAGTATCTTAGTACCTGTACAAAATGCCAGCCAGAATGGCGACCAAGAGGAGAAACAAACTGCAGATCCACAGGATGTGATACGACGCCTCCATTCCACCAGTCACTGCTGATAAACCTGACAAAAGGAGATTAGGACAGCGTGAAACAAAACCCAGAAGCTACAGGTCATACCATCTTATTATTTTTAATTCATCCAACCGTCAGACATGTCGTCCTCTACCGCAGATCCTTCCTCCTCAAATGAGGGAAACTATTGGTTAAAGTAAAAAAGTAAAAATTAGTCAATGTAAAAAAAAGTTAAACTTTAAACATATTCTGAATGAGTGGATTAAAAGTGGATTAAAAGTTTGGATCTTTACCTCTGTAGTCATAAAATTATCCCAGGGATTTGGAGCTGAGGACAAAACAAACAAAGATGAGAGAGTTTCAAAATGAGAGGAAACTGATTCAAAGACAAAAAATCTGCGGAGGTGTAGACTTCCTTGGTATGAAATTGTGTTTATAGAACAGACTTTGTGGTAACCAGAAGGAAAATAGACAGGGGCTCTGTGTGTGCTGGTTGTGAGGACAGCTTTTGTCTGTGTCCAGGATGGATTATATTTTGCCGGACTATTACGTATTTGATGATAAAGGTCAGGGATTTACAGTCTGTATAGTTAACCAGTTTCTACAACAGCATGAGCTCATTGTGCTGACTTCTATTTACCATCCTTTGTCATACAACATAAATGTCATTTATGTACAAATAATGCAGGAAAAAAGTTTTTGCATATCAAGTCCTGACTTTAGCCAGATGCTTGGCGCCAATTTCAGTAACCTGATGTTAAGCAGGCTCCTGCAACGCCCAATGAAAGAGAGTTTTGTCAGATTTAGGTTGTTGATTAATCGTGATTAATCCACAGCTACCCTGTGGTTAATCAGATTAAAACTGTATGCATTGGAAAGCCTAGTTGCCTAATAGTTTTGTGTTATGTCAATGTGCACACGTGTATCACCTTTCCAGCTGCTGGCGTACACAGGTGTACTCCAGTCACTCCACTGACCCTGAAACTCTTCCTTGGTTCTGAGCTGTATCAGGTATTCGACACCAGGCATGGCATCTGTGATGATGTAGAAACGCTTGCCTCTAATCAGATTTATCTACATCAATAAAGACAGGCAACCAGGTCAACAGGCTACACATGGAACTGTTGTGTACACAGTAGTAACATGGATGGTATTTTATAACTAAAGTTTAGCATCTAAATGTAGCAAAATTTGGAGCCATTGAACCAAAATTGTAAATTTGTTCTCTGTTGAAGAGACACTGTCGTGAAGCCATGCACATTGTACAAACATGACATCATCACTGGTCAGAATTCTCTTCATTCGTTTTGTTTGCCATAGATCGTACGTTAACACGGAAATTGCTGAGAACGGACGACACTACCAAAATGAAGCTGGCTTCAGCAGCGATAGCAGTTCCAGTTAGGGTACCAGGCAGACTATTCTTGTACTTCTGTCTAAACTCTGAAGTTCAAAGTAGCGGTGGGTCGCCATTAATTGCACAGAGAGGAAATCCTAAAGAGACATTAGCAGCGAAGCTGTAGCACAGATTATTCACCTGGTCCTGATTGAAGGATGACTGCAGCGGCCTGTATTTGACCTCGTATATCAGTTCATAATATTTGTCCTGAGGTTTCCATGAGGATGGAAGGTTCCAGGTGATCTTTAGCCACTTCTCATATCCTTCCTCTGCTGTGACTGATACATTTGAGGGAGGGTCCGGTATTACTGCAAGGCAGAAATGAGAACCAGGTTTCCACTCAAAAACTTCTTTCACAGTTTTTGTCACAGCGCGATTGGAAATGGACACGATTGTCACTCACTAATGTCCATAGGTATGAAGGTCAGCACGTTGCTGGTGGCGTTGCCTGTGACGCTGCTGACACACAGGTAGGCCGTGTGAATCAAACTCTTCTTGTCCTGATTGTGGTCCAAAGCGCACCAACAGCGGGAGAGACGAGAGGAGTAAGAGCACTGTATCTGAATGAAGCTCTCTGACAGGCTGCGAGAAAGAGAGAGAGAGAGACCTTTAACCTTTCTTCTGTTGGTCCTCCTTCTATATTTTTAAAACATCAATGTTGACACCAGCATACAAAACACAAAACAAACGTCCAAGTAAAGGCACTACATATAAGGGGCCACTAGGGGGTTTGAGTTTGTACCTTTTCCTCAGCATGAGGTAACAGTTTGTGGGTCTGCTCAGTGGCCTCTCAAGCTGCCACTCACAGCGGATCTTGCTGCTTGGTGACTTCTTGTAGCAGGACAGAGTGGGCGTCTCCAGAGGCTCTGACAAATAATAAGTTCAGATAAGGTTACGCTAGGGTTGCAATTATTTATTCATGTAAAATCATCTAATATTATAGGAAAAAGACTCACTTTTGTGATTAGAGGAATTATACAATTATAATTAAATTGCTGTTATTTCCTTGTTTAAGAGTATAGTAAATTCTTCACAAAGTAAATTCTCCAAATGGTTTACCTTGTGGACCAACTTGGACAGAGAAAAAGTCATGTTTAGATATGGATTCATTATTTTTGAGTAGGATTAACTTCCAGTTCAGCTCATTCTGTGCTATAATCTTGGCGTGTTTTTTATTTTTTTATTTTGTGTTTCCGGACTATAGGTCACGCCTTTTTTTCATCCTTTGACTGTGTTTCATCCTTATACTCATATGTGACTTATATATTAAAATATATAATTTCACGTTTGTTTTTTTCACACTGACAGTCACTAGAGGGCACTCTCGGCTTGAGCACCAGTATCTGCTACTCCTATACCTCTGAAAATGTACATGTTTTCACAGTGACAGCCACTAGAGGGCACTGGTCCGACTTATACGGTGGAAAATACGGTGGTTTAAAAATGAAAGGACCGTGAGACTTCCTGGGACGCTGCTGTTTGCACTCACCTGAAATGATCACCTTTAAGGAGAACCTCTCTCTGCCTCTGCGATAACAGGTGTACCTCCCGGTGTCTGCCTCCCTCACTGCGAACAACGACAACATGACTTCCGTCCAGTCTCTTCCCTCTGCTCCCAAATGCTTCCCATTCCACTTCCACAGGAACCTCGACTTAATTCCTCTTGTTACTCTCCTGCCTTCTTCTCCCCCCTCCTCTTCGTCGTCGTCCTCCTCCTCATAATCACCTTCAACAAAATCCTCCAGAGCATCAGCGCGACCCTTCACCCCTTTGCCATATCTGGTCGTCAGGGCCGTGAGAGTGGTGGGGGGAGAGGTGTGTGAGTTTGTATCTGTGTTTCTTGGATTTTTACTTTCTCCTCTTGCAGTTCGGACACCGGTCTTTAAAAAAGAACTGTCATTTTTGAAATAATCTGCAGTCCGTTTGGTGTGTGTGATGTTTAAAGCGGTCGTTGGCTCAAACGCGGAACTGTCTTTCCTGTTGGAGCTCCGCTCTTTTTCAACATTGACCTTTACTCCATCTACTGCTACATCACCACTGCAAGTGAGGACCAAGTGGCTTCCTGGAGATAAAACCAGCACACCAGGGGGAGGGTCTGCAGACAAACACAAAGTCACCTTTTTGTGTGAAAATGTTTCCTTTTTAAGCCTGGCCAACTGTACATACGGTGGTTTTCCCTGCTCTGAGTCTTTATCACAGTTGAAAAGTCACAGCACAGGAAAGCAACGTTGCATAACCGAGGTTCTTTTAAACTTCCTTTATTACTCAGCCGTTCCTTGTATCTGTTTTTTTTCCGCTCTACAGAACAACCCAATCTTAGCCTTGGAATTCACGTCTTCTAACGTCATCGTCCAGTTGGGACTTTACTGTAACGGCTGGACACGAACGTCAATCTAACATCCATATGCTCACGTCGAACAAATCAGTCTTTAAACGGTGACTTAGAACGAGAAATAAGTTTTGTTCCCTCTCTTGAAATTTCAAGCCAAGACACTTGAAAACATAATAACCGCATTTAATCACTTTTAGGGGAAAATAGCGTACGGTATTTCTGTGCTTCTGACAACCTGTAACTGAAGAAAACAAAAAGGATTGTGTTCATACTGAGGGTAAACCTCTTTGTTAAATTTAGCACAGTTTTAAGACCAGATGCTTGAACTTATGCAAAACCCTTTAAAACAGGAGCATCTGGGGCTGAAACCAACCCTAGGTTAGGGTTGGGGGGCTGGGGGAGTGTTGGAGTGTCAACAGCATGATAGACTCTGTGTTGAGGTACCAAGTCCATACCTGCTTTTTTAGATATATATATATATATATATAAAAACTACAATCGTCTAGGTCAACATTTTTCTAAAGCTTGTTACTGCTGAATATATACTGTATATCCTTTATGAAATATAAATATATATTTAAAATGGATATATATTAAATAAACAAAATAATAATAAAATAATAAATATATGATTAAAAATCAAGATTTGAAAAAAATGGTACAGACTTACAAATGTTATATTTCTATGTTGTACTTGCATCTTTTTAAAATAAGTGTTGTGATTAACCTTCAACTACATTTTTTTAAATCTCTCTTCATTTATCTCTTTTTTTCTTGTTTTGTCTTTTTAGGTTTAATTAGATTGTTGTTGTTTTTTAATGATGTCCAGGTCACACTGGTGAAAGAGTTAAATCTCAGTGGGGTTTATCAGGTTAACTAAGTAGTAGTAGTAAGTAGTAGAAGAAAAACAAGGCAGATTTGGGACATTCATTTTTAGGGTTAGGGGTTTTGGGCACACTTATTGTCATTTTGCATCATTTTCAGAATTTTATTTATTAAATAATTAAACTGGTAATTATTATCAGTAGTGTTTTTTTTAATATAATTTCTCATTTGGGAAGCTTAAATAATAAATACCTAGTTTAAAACCTAAATAATACGTATTTAAAATTATAATCTGTTTGTGGGATGAGCAACAAATAAAAACACATTTTGATAATGACGAAAAAATGTAGAAAATTATTAATTATTGATTAATCGACTGACAACTGTTTTCAATACATAATGAGAATAAGAATATATTCACCCGTTGTTTTCTCTGTTGCGACAAACGTATTACATTACATTACATAAAGAACGAAATTTACTTAAAGTCCAATAGGACAATAATAACAACAACAAGAACTCCGTGTTAGAACTGTTCTCATGTCTTACCTTTTCTGGGACAGATTCCCCCAGAAAGACCGTAAACCACGTTGACGCACAGAGAAGACAGAAAAAAGAGAAATATCCACATGTTTACGGCAGGACTGCATCGGTGTGGTTGTATCGAACCGTGTCCACCATCGAACTTTGACTGTAATGACAACAGTCGGTCACTAAGAGCGAACTCTTCTCCCGTCCACTTCCCTCTGTCCACAGACACAGCAGTGACGTCAGAACAGTTCCTCTCGACGGTGAACTGTGCTGAGCGTCACACCGTTATTGTGAAATCCTCGCTCTCCCGTGTTCAGTTTGGCACCGTTATACAGAGGAAATCCTCCTCTATGTCAAAATAAAACGTACACTGATCCATATATTGTATATAGTATTGATTTAAAAAACAAACAACATTATTTAAGGCCCATGTGTGTAATAAAATATATAAAATCACGACATTAAAGTCGTAAAGTCAAGCCGGGAAAGTCATAAATCTACGAGAATAAAGTAGGAAGTTGATCGTATGTTCATGTTACACATCCGTTGTCATGGTTTTCATAGAAGAGGGAAACAGAAGTTGTTTTTTTTTTGTTAAATTCAAAAGTTGGAAATTCTTAAATTACCTATAGTCGTAATTTGTGCCTGTGTTTGTTCATATATGTGCACGTGTGTAAATATATGAGCTTTGATGGAGGCCTACAATGTTAGACCTCATATTTATTATTATTATTATTATATTTGCTGTCTAGTTTATCAGTAAAAGGAAAACACATACACACAAATTTTGGTTTTCTAATATGAAAGACAAGCAGAACTTTCTATTTATTTTTTTATCGTATTTATTTATTTTTTACCACCTCAATACTTCACCAACAAATAGTTGATTTACCAGTATGTGTCAGGGGCTTGTGTTTAACTTGAGCAGAGAGATTTTTTTAAAAATTCTTATAGATATATAAAACCAAAAAAAAAATGCTGTTTACTAAAAAGTTTAATGAATATAATATATATATATATAAATTACAATTGCAATATATACAAATTATAATTATATTAGGTCAAAATAAGGCTAAAATTCGACATGTTGCCATTTTTTAAAAAGATTTTTTAAATAAAAGCAAAAAACCTAAACCCACAGCACAATCACATCAATATGATGCAAAATTTAAAATACATACATTTTAAACAGGAATACTGGTACTGTAGTAGCTCTGCTGACGTTAGAGACAACACTGTACTGTATGTACTCAAGATCATTAATACTTTTAACAATGTATAACACAATGTCATAAAAGACAAACACACTGAAAAAGGAAAAAAGAAAAAAAAAAAAAAGAACCATGCTGTGCAACCAGGCCTCTCCACCGTCCCTTTCCCTGTGTTGGTACGCTTCTTCACAGAACATCGTGTGTTTCGTCGATGCTGGTGGAGACTTTTGTTAAAGAAGATTTTGTTAATGATACTTCAGATAATGTGAAAAGAAATAAAGTACCATAGGAGTTCTAGTTATTCAACATTATTCCTTTAAGCAGTGAAGAACGTTGTTTGTCTACATGTGTCTTAATCTTCACAAAGTACAAAAACAAAAACCAAAAATGTGGTCTTAGAAGTTTCTGTACATTAAGATAGTGTTCTCATTAGAACAAAAAAAAAAAACAAAACACACATGGATGTATACAGTACAGTACAGCCAGTCTGGAACACAGTCAGGGGTCCGTGGGAACTAGTTCACCACAAGGCCATTAAATTCCAAGGAGGTTCAACTTTAGATAAAAAAATGATGATTTTGACAGAGTGATGGAAACCAGAGAATCCTGTTTGTTGTGTCAGTGAACTGGAACATCTCCAGAACATCATTCTGTGTGAGCTTCAGCTGAGTCTGGTTCTTGTTCTGAAGCTGACGTTGTTTCTTTGGATGGAGCAGGAGCAGACAGTGTGTTCTGGGCCGGTGCTGTGCCGGCCTCCTCCTCTAGGGGCATGTCCTGGGAGCCGCCCAGAACTGAACAGGAGTTTGAGAGTGGGGGTACTGACCCAGAGACGCAACTGGGCGCTGGACTGCACTCCCCTGATGCACTGGCCGGGGTGTGGCCATGGGTGTGTTTCTTTCTGCGTAGCGTGTCAATCCAGCTGGAGCTATGTCTGGAGGCGAAGGAGGTCAGGGCCAAAGACGAGAGCCTCATGTTCTTACCTGAGGTGATCAGCTCCCCAAAGCCCTCCTGGTGGGCAAAGGCGTAGCCCGACCTCCTGGAACCACCCCGAGCACCCAGACGACTCTCGGACACGCTGCCCGCTCCTCGCCAGGGACCTCCTACGTTGCGACCTGCTGGCTTTCGTTTCTTTTGACGCACCAACTGCGTGTAGCGAACCTGTAGTAAGAAGCAGAGGAGCTGACCTGGGTCACTGGTCCTGATTACGTCAGGGTTTTTAGAATCGCGCACTGTGGGCCTCATGTGGCTTTGTCGTTACCGCACTGCCAAGTCTTGCCCACTACTCCCTGTGTCCAGTGTTGACCACTAGGCCCTGGTCATTACATCACTGCAGAGGTTCTAATAACATATTTAGTTCATGGTTGTGGTGATGGTCTTCATCAGTTGTATTCCTCTTCCTCCCTGACATAACATCTGACTTGCACTAGAGTTCTAGTTTTGTCTCATCTGACCAAGATGACTCAAGATTACTGCAGTTTTTTTTTTTTTATTATTTTACTTCCACACAAGGGAAATACATTTTGTGACTTGACACTAATTCTGCGACCTGTTGTTAATCCTTGAAACACTCTGGATCAGGATTTTGATGACGTCTTTCGTCATTCTGCTCTTTTTGTTTCTGTTAAATTTAAATGCTTGTTCTAAATGTTGCACAGTTGATCTTAAGAAACTGCGTTCAAGCAGCGTTCACTCAAAGTGTTTTCTCCTTTTCCACTATGACAAACAAAAATCTGCGCATGACTGGTGGGAAAGTACAATGACATAATCAACAATTTCATTTGCCTTACAACACTGACGGTTGCTGTGGCTGGATTCCCAGGTCGTTTGAGACACCAAGAGTCGAGGGTCACACACTCACAGTATGACCGTACTTTAATATGTTGACAGAAATCAGAAGCTTTTACCATTAGGGTCCACTTTTTCAGTCAATATTTGCACTGTGTGTGTGCGTGTGCCAATGACACACACTCGGTTGAAGTTTGTGTGCAGTTAATCATTGGTCGAGGCCAGCTGCCTGACATGTTGAAAGACAAGATGCTGCTGTGTTGCGATAAAAAGGATGGAGACATCTGTGTGGGTTTCTGTTTCTGCACGGTTTCTTACCGTGTCTGAGAGCTGAGGTTTAAGGTCCAGCTTGAGGAAGCGGAACGCCAAAACTGGAACTACACAGATTGCTGTAGCCAGTGCAATCGTAAACCACACGATCGGCTGCAATAATGTGCTGCGAGCACAACCTGTTTTCAAGGACACAGAAGCAAATGAAGATTAGCCACTGATTATTTTGTTCTTTCTCTATGTTTGAATGAATTTGTTAATCTGTGTAGACAGACTGATACACTTCTTCACCAGATCACTTCAAACCTAAGTTAAAATAACGACAGACAAAGGAGGAGGTTGTGTATTAATTTTAATTTAGTCTTAAGCTGTTAACTAAATTGTAACTTAGTCTTTGTCCTAAATAAGTCAACAGACCTGCTAGATTTAGTCAACCAAATATGTGAAATTTTTTTTTATATTTGACACGCTAGATTTAGTCAACCAAATATGTGAATTTTTTTTTTATATTTGACAAAATTTTATGTAGTGGACTAAAATACGATGTGTACAGTTTTCATATTTGTATGGTGTGATACGTTCTGTATATGACGTCTTAATTGGTCTGGGCTCTGTGACCATGTTTTGGTCACAGTGATGTCACAGATGAGTATGACAGATCTCTGTTTACGTGTTCTGACTTCTGTGCAACAAACATGTCTCTGATTTGCTCTCACACTCAAATGAAGTCAGACGAAATCAGCGCTGATTGGACGTTGTCTAATAGCTTTGTTTAACTTCTTTGGTGGAAATGAAATGTCTGTTACTTCGGAGGTGACGTCCACGTCATGGCTGCTGGCAAATACGTTCAGATAAAGGCCCACTACTAATAGGCCTGTGTGAGTGTGTGAGCTACTGACCTACAAAGTTCAGCTGACTGGGGAAGCTCCTGAACAGGCCCTGACTTTGCAGAACAAACATGATGCTGAAGTAGGAGCACAGAGAGCCCCACACACACACATGGTTAATGACTGTCCAGAAGCCAGTGTCCAGGGCAATCTAAACACAGGTCATGAAAAGAAAAAATCAATGGACAACAGATTATATTCTAGGAAAAAAACATACAGTATCTGTGGGTATAGAAAATGACCTGCACGCTGACCACGATGACCAGTGCTGTTGCGGTGGTGATGGCAAAGGTCTGGTAGTCGGCCAGGGGCACGCCATTACTTTGTGTGGCGTCAGATAGAACAGCGTAGGGAACAAAAAACAGCACCACTGATGTGTATATGCCCTGGGTGATGCAGATAAAAAACTCTTTTTTGTTGAAGAGGAGGTTGAGCTGCCCAGGCTCATACAGCTTTGGATACTCCAGACTCCTGCGGTCAGGAACGTCCTGCGGAGAGACAGGGTTGACGACAGTTGCCGAAAGACCCCCAATAAACAGCAGAGTTTGTAGGGAGGAAGTAAAACTACACTGTTTTGGAAAATATGTCTCCTGAATATAATGATGTAAAATACAGGGGGTTCTAGGTTGACGACTTCCTACGTCCTACCTACGGCATTTCGTGGTTACGTTGCTACACACCCTACGTATACATTTGTAAAGAAAGCCTTGCTCCATCATCACGACTTGAAACTTTTTGACCTTCATTATGGCTCACAGGATTGGTTTTGCCAGACCATCGTAGAGCACAATAAAGAATTCCGTGTGGTCTTTATTTCTGTTTGCTGAGACTGAGTCCTCAGAGTCCGTGGAAAAGCAATAATTTCTGGTGCAACAGTTTCCGTTTTGAATTCGAAGACCCCCAGTAAACATAAATATTTCAGACATACCTGGTCGAAAATCCCCATGGCCAGCACAGGGAGGGAGGTGTAGACAATGTTGAAGAGTGTGATGAAGTGTTGGTCATAAACAGTCTGGAGGAGACAGGAGATACATTGTAGAACAAACATTAACTGACTCATGATTGGACACTGTTGGTTTGCTGACTGTGTGAACTTTATTTTCTGACCTGGGCAGAGAAACCACAGAAGAAGCCGAACCAGAAGTGCACCATGGTGAAGGCAAAGTTCTTGTAGAAGAAGTAGCAGAGGAAGCGGCACATGCGGAGGTAGGACCAGCGACCATGGACCAGCAGGAGGCGCTGAAGGAAGCGAAACTGGGAGAAGGAGAAGTCACTGGCCAGGACTGCCTGGATCCCCTCCTGACCTGAGATACCAACTCCGATGTGAGCGCCTGAAGGAGTGAAGACGCCCGATTGGCAGACGGTAAAGAATCGTGTTTTACTTTTACTTATTTTACAATCAACTCTTGGAGCTTGTTTTGTTTATATTTGACAGTAAGTGTTTTGGGCAGTTTGTGATGATGTAACTGCTGAGATTAAAAACTGTTTTGGGCAGTTTGTGATGATGTAACTTTTAGCCTTGATGGAACATGAAAATAGTTTTTAATCTCAGCAGGATGCTTAAAAAATACAGCGACTGTATTGCGTGATGTTCAGATTGTGGGAAAAGATATCGCAATTCTTACAAAACAGAACATTGCGCACAGATGGAGACAAAACAAAGCAAACACATGAACCGCAGGTACCTGGTTCTCCTTCTGCCGAATCAACAATAACAAATTTCCCATCGCATTAGAATGTAAAAGTGACGGTTGTGACAGTCAGTGGTTGTGTTGCACCAAGACTACTAATCAAACCATAACACTACACTGATGTTTGGAAAGATACGTCCATAATAATAATAATAATAACTGTATTTGTTTTTATTTTTATATAGATCTTTAATCTGACTTTACTAATTACAACGACATACACTGCAGGATGGACACCCTTTGAAAACACTTTTGACTTTGACTTTATTTTGTGATGAATTGATAAAAACTGGCTCTCTGGGTGTTGAAGGTTGCAGACCACCAGCTTAGACAGTTTATGTAAGACTAGGCTTTAGGTAAGACTGCAGAGATGCTGCAAGTGACTGAGGGAAACAGATGCATTAGTACAACTGAACCATAACAACTGAGTTAAAGAAGCAGTTCATGTTGCACAGCATTGGTAATGTTTTTTAGGACATTAGGAAGGAAACATCTGCTGATTCTTTCTTTGTAACAGCCAGACTGATCATGTCTTTGGAGGAATTCCATGCTGTATCACAGATAAACAAACTTCATTACATTTTTGGGGATGAATTCCAACTCCCTGAACTCACAGTGATGACTTATACCGCAGTGCACATTACACCTGCTGTTGTGGTTTCAGCTGCATCAAATGCCCGTGGAACTTACTTTTGATCATGCTAACATCATTGGCACCGTCTCCTACGGCCAGAGTCACGGCCTTCTTGTGTTTCTTGATGAGCTCCACCACCTGAGCTTTTTGCAGCGGCGTGACTCTGCAGCAGATCACTGCTTTGCACGCACATGCTGTCAATACAAATTCAGTCTCCATGTCTCCTTCTAAAGCGTGGGCCTAATGAAGAAGGAAAAGGAGAAAAAAGGAACGAGAAAGGTTAGGATAGATGCAAAGCAAAAAAAAAGAAGCTTGTTTTGTTGATGCAGTAACATGTTTTGGCAACACGTCATTTCCTGACAGTTGGCAGTTTATTTCTTCACGGCTCTTGTTGGTCTTGTGTGTGTATGTGTGTGGGAGAGTGGCTGGGGGTAATGTGTGTGGCAAAATAGTGTTGCACACCACTGTTGTGTTTTTCATACTAGACTGTGACCGTTGATAACGAGGGCAAACTCTCCAGAGATGTTGTCCATGACACAGGAGGAGGACGGAGGTAACGAGCCCTCCATCTGCTTCTCCCCTCTTCCCTCCTGCCCTTCGTTGAGACCATTGCCACTAAGGTATGGCTCCCCCCATCCTTCCATCCCTGGCTCCTTCCCTCCATCCGTGGTTTGTGACAGCTGTATCATTTTTTCCCTCGCAGTCCTGAAGGGGCAGACAAACACAGTGACAAACGATGAGCTAATGAGACATAAGAGAATTCAAACAATGATGAGCAAACAGGTGAACTAGCCAGTGTTAAGAAAGTTGACCACAATGAGAACTTTTTGCACAATATTTTAGTCTTGCAAGTTTGGGATACACACATTTGTGCAGAAGTTTAATTTACAAGGACAAAAAAAATATTTTTCATCTCACAGTCTACAAGACTTCGCTGATTTGTTAGGTTTCCACTGTCCTTCCTGCACATTTTCAGCTTCTGCATTTTAACATTTTGTATAAATCTATTTATATCCCAACATTATATTTACATTTGTCTTAATTTTATCCTTGAACGTGTGTTTCGTAACAAGTGAATTTCCCTCATGCTATTAAAGAGGTCCTTCTTCTATCGCTTCCACTTTTACTTCTTTTCTTCTTCTTTTTCACACTTAAATAAATAAATAAATAAATAAATAAAATATTAATTACAACTTTTAGGGTTGACAATTTGCAAGAGTTCAACCTCAGGCCAAACAAAGTTTCTGTTTTATTCCAATTATACATCACTGGTCAAACCCATGTACAATATTTGTAACTTGAACAAATAATAATCGATTTCAGGAACATTTATTAATACATTATGGAGCAGCTACATCTCTACAGTCGTCTGTTTACATCAGGCCTTTTAAGGGGAACTTGAAGTTTGACACCACTGCTTTACATGCAGCAGGACTGACCTGAGCTCCTGCCGCACGCTCTGGACGGTGTGTCCACTGATGATGAAAACCTCAGTTGTATCTGTCAGCATCTTGCATGAATACCCTATGTTGACAGCTGTCTCTGTGTGATGGGAAACAATGCATAGTTCAGTGTGAGAGCAGTTGGATTACAACCAGAATTAGGTTTCAGACACAGAATCAAATCCTCTGCATGTGTGTGTGTGTGTGTGTCATCCAACCAAACTCTTATAAAATACTATTTTTATGTTTTGGCAGCCGAGCTACATCTGTGTACTTTCGTTTCCTGGACTTTTATTTTTGGTAATAATTGCTTCGCTTGACAAATTATGTCAAACAAAAAAAATCTTCTACTTCTGCAAACCTGACCTTGACATCTACAGAGTAGAAACGGTTTCAACAGCTTTACTGCGAGTGGCTCCATCTCACCCTGCTTGTCTCCAGTAAGAACCCAGATTTTGATGTTGGCCAGAGATAGGACAGCAATAGTCTCAGGGACACCTTCCTGTAACTTGTCCTCTATGGCCGTGGCACCGAGAAGCTAAACAGAAGGAAAACAATCGACAAACACAGAGAGAGAGAGAGAGCAGGTTATGAGTCACTTTAACATAATGACTTTAACTGAAAAGTGTGAGGAACTTAAAGCAGAATATCAAGTATCCCCCTGGTGGTAACGTTAATCTGAAGTATAAAATAAGTGAAACTTTAATAAGTTTCCTTTTGACAGGGATAGAGGAAGAACATAAATTTCTTCTTTTAGTTTTCAATTTTTACACAACACACACACATGAACACCCTCCACCTAAGACACGCACCATCATGTCTTGTTCTATCTGCTCGTACACAGCTGACAGCAGATCCTCTCTGAAGTCAGTGGCCTTGTCAGCAGAGCGGTGGCTCTCTGACCAGGACTCCCATTGGTCCTCGGACAGGTCTCTGTAGGCCAAAGCCAAGGTCCTCAGACCGTCAGCTGCATACTCCTGAGCAACAAAAACATTAACCTCCTGTTAGGTTCTAACACAAACAGAATTATTAAGAACAACACAGCAGTAAACCTTTGTCTAATTTAAGATTTTATAAGAGAGAAATTCACGAAAGCAACTGTTCTCAAACTATGGTACACATCCCAGTTAGGGTACTTTTGCTACCTTTGGTGGCACACGGCTAATTTGACTTCCATTTGGATTAGGTGAGTAGCTTTACTGTTTAATCTGGCTGCTCTATACATACTTGCTCTGTAGTAATTCTAATAGTATCAATGTGCAGTGTTTATAGTATGCAGTGTACAGTTTTTGCTAAAAAAAAGATCAAATAATATTTTGCTCCAGGGGGCAGACTTGTGCTACTGTATTTTATTGGTGCTCATACTGGTGGTTTTTGGAAGGACAAATATTTCAAAAGTGATACATGGGGTAAAAAGTAAAGAGAGCACTACTACATTATAGGTTAATGGCCATACTTCCTGTACTGTTTATCTTTATCATGATTCAATACATATTTTATGCAGCATACATTAATAACAGAGTTGGCAAATGACTTATTTACGCCCCTGGAAGGAAGAATTTCACGAGACGGCTGACGTAGAGCACACACTAGATGGCAGTGTAACACTGATAAAGTCCGCTCACATTGAGATGGTCTGAGGTGATGTTCATCAGCTCCTGGTTACAGGGGTGGAGTCTCTCCAGCAGCACGGTGTCAGCTCCTTTACAGTACAGACGGATCCTGCCCTCAGGGTTCCGCACTGAAAATAAAATTAAAGAAAAACAAAATTTGTTCCAAGGCATACATTTTTTAAAAAAGAAGCTTTTCTTTTTCTTTTAGCATAAATTAAAAAAAAAAAAAGCTTTTCTTTTTCTTTTCTTTTTCTCTTCTTGCACATTGTCTGCCTTTGGTTCTCAAGTGTTTGCTCACACACTGTCAGACCAGCAGTGGTTGCCAGGGAAAAACGTGATGAATGAGCAGAGATGTTCTGGTCAGTTTGTGAGGACGGCAAATCACAGGAACAAACAGTGATGTCTTTCAGTGAACCAGATATAAACACCACTAATGGCTCACCTCCTGTCCACTGTTAGGAGCAAGTACAATGAACTGAATTCACATTCTTGATTCACCAGACAAGGCACAGCAGTGAGTCACGGAACAATGACATGATAATAAATTACATTACATGTCGACAAAATGTATTTACCTGTAGAGCCTATGTAAGTCCTAAAAAATATATTTTTTAGGTTATTGTGTAAATTAACAGCCTTTTTCGATTAAACATTAATGCAACTTATTCATATATGGAATATTTATAATTTTTAATCATTAATGCAACTTATTCATATATGGAACATTTATAATTTTTTTTTCATAGTCCAGTTTTTCGTTTAGTATAGTAAAAGTGCATGGTGCTGCAGAGACGTCGTCCTCTGAGTGTGATGATCATTTTTTAATAACCATGATATCGACTTTAATTAAATTTTATTGCTATAATGTTTACCAACACATGGGTAAGTGGGTGTTGTGCCCTGAGAGCCTGTTCAAAGACGGCATGCCTTTAGCCTGACCTGCTTGTTTTATACTAAACCAATTTCTTATGAAGCAAAGAATTCACACTGGTTAATTTGCACCCCCTGCAGGGGAGAGGGGTGAACAGTAAAGAATGCTTTGGATTTACAGATACAAATGTAAAAATATCTGAGCAAACCTATCACAGACATCCTTTTGCGTATGTTGTTGAAGTCCAGAATTGCCAGCAGAGTGTAGGTGACGGGTCGTCCCATCTCCGTGGTGCTGATGGTCCCGGGTGTTCGGGAACGAAACACAAAACCAAAGTTTCGTGCTGCTGTCACCAAAGCGCCCTCATCTGGGGACTGAGCCTTATAGACCAGCTCTCCTGGACAGACAGAGAACAAATATAAAGAAAATAAACGACAGACACGTGAAGTGTTGACCCCACTGTCCCCCTTCGTCATTCTCACCCTCACTCTTCTCCTCACTCATTACGGTGTGACAGAGAGAGAGCAAGCGGAAAAACTCGTGCGTGTGTTTGTCTCCCACTTTCACTGATTCCAGCAGGGCATCGTCATAGAAACAGAAGTCCAGGTCTGCCAGGGGGTTGAAGGGAGTAAAGTCCAAACTCTGAAGATAAATTGAGGAGTCATGACCTTAAACGGCGTGTTATAAACTGCGACATACTATACACTGCACATACTGTAGTGCTGAAGTTGTCCATGTTGATGGTACTCTCAGACTACTAACCTTTGGTTGAGGTCCAAGTGGGTCTGTGATTTCACCTGATTGCACAAACAAGACAAGTGTAAAACGTCAATGTCTGTTGTCAAATATCACACACGTGGTGCCATAACTGTCTAACTGATAATGACAGGAGACAGCAGCAGAAGTCAATAATCATGACAAATCAATATAATCGGTACTATCCAGGCAGGTGGAGGGCTGCAAATATTGTTTTATATTTAATTACCATATTTTCCCGACTGAGTCGCACCGGCCAAAAAAATGCATAATGAAGAAGGAAAACTTCTGGGATGTATTTTATACACTCATCTCCCAAAGGAGGTAATATACAGTATATAACCATCTGTAGTTTGACTTAGTCTGAGATCTGTGTGTGATTTCACCCACCGTAGGTCTGTCCACTGATGGAGCACTTGTTGAAACTCATGATGTTCTGAGTAAGAGTCCCAGTCTTATCACTGAAAATATATTCCACCTGAAACATGAATGCAAAACATTTATTTGATTTTATTTATTTACAGCTAGTATCTTCTCTTTGAAGTATTCTGTGCGTCTTTACTACATCAGTGAGTGTGGGCACCCACCCACCCACCTACCTGGCCCAGCTCCTCATTTAGAGTTGTGGTTCTGGCCTCTGCTGCTGTGTTGCACTGTGAGCAGAACATCTGCTGGTCCCAGTTAATGAAGTAGCTGTGACCGAGGCGGATCACCTCAACACTGGTGCAAATGAAACAAACATAGGGCAAAAAGTAGCATTACATTTAAACACATCATACAGTAGTTATTTGATGTCAGAGTAGAATCGTTTTTGCACTTGGTGAGATATCTTTGAACACAGTCCTATCATTTGCCCCACTACTTTGAAAGTAAGGACCCGCCCCCTACTTTGAATACCATTGTTTTACCGTCATAACTCGAGAGCTGTTTATGCTGCGTTTATTTTAACGTGAACAGTGAGTATAATCCGTCTGCTCCTCACCTGACATACAGAGAGATGGGCACCACGGTGTTGAGAATGATGATGTAGGACCAGAAGGAGAGGAAGGCATTAAACAGGAAGTTGTTCACAGGGGGTTCCCAGGGCAGGTAGCTCTGGAACAAGGATCCCACCTCTCGCTCCCACACTGCGTTACCAACAGCCAGGATCGTTCCCATGCACACGAGGAAGCCAAAGATCTGTCAGGGAGAAGAGTTGAGACAGGCACTTAGGAAAGAGGAGCAGGAGCGGCGAGTCTGATCAGACGGATATCTTAGATTCTGCTCTTTGGCTCAGTTGAACCCAAATTTAGACTGGAACACAAAGTGTGGATACATGGATCTGAACTAAAAACTCTGGGATCCTGTCCTAAAACATTATGCCCAGTGAAATTGAGAAGTTTGGGATGTTTTACCCAGAGGACGAGCGTGTTCATCAGGCGATCGATGCTCGTGCGCTTAAACTTAGTGCAACCGCTGTTCTGCATAAGTTTGGTGTCTGGACCTGGAACAGAAACAGGTTGTTAGGAACACACCCTTTACACACACAGACACAGACACACACACATGCATTCAGTAAAGTTTATAGATTCACTTCATCAGTTAATAAAAGATGGACCAACCTGCAAATATGACGAGGCCGTAGCAGGCTTCAGTGTTGCGGAGGACGCACCCTCGCAGCAGCATGTTCTGGTTGGTCAGGGGGTATTTCTTCTCTCTCCAGTAGAGGGTACCACAGAAACGATCCAGCTTGTTGTTGGGGGGCTCACACACTACTTCACCTTTCCCACAAAGATAAGTAAAAGAATATAGAATTTGGAGTCAGTTTTAGATTTTCAAAATCAATGCACTAGTATATGTGGTTTGTGCAGTCGATTTCTGTTGGTTCAACCTGTGGGACGTGTTTAGAATGAAACTGACAGAACACGTGGGTGAAAACAAGAGTCTATCTTAAAGTCTTACCGTCAAATGAAGAGAGGTTGTCTCCAAGTTCAGATGTCACTGAGACAGACTGACGCACCTTCATATTGGTCTCTCTGCAAGACAATAGAACAACAACATCTGCTGATATGGACACAGAGTGGCAGAGGGTTGGCCACCATGCTGATGTGCGGTGTGTTTTCTGACCCGTCCAGCTCAGCTGTCTCGATGTAGCAGAGACCGTGAGGTTCGCTGCTGGACAACAGGAGTAGGTCAGCCTGAAGATATGGCAGTTAGAGTTAGCGTTCACTGAAGGACATGAGTGGCTCAGGAAGAGAGTTAGGGAAATCAATATTCACAAAATAAATACTTTATAACAAAGTACCAGTAGGTTTTTATTCAGTATGTATTTGTTTTTGTACTGTATACTATCACTAGTTTGGTATAATGATAGTAGAGCTGGGTTAGGGATTAGGGTTAGGTATTTATTTGTAATAGGTGAAGTTGCTACAATATGTATTGTAAATGTGAAATGCTCTCAGCAACACGTGTGCATGTGTGTGTACTACAGTACCCAACTGTACTGGATGCATACTTACTGCCACAAACTGATTGTTCTCAAGTTTAATGATGTCACCAACTCGAACGTTCATCCACTTTTCACTCTGAAGACTGCAACGGCAAAACATGAGGCAAAGATAAAGGAGAAAATTGTTAAGTTACTTTTGTGAAAAAAAAACAGGATATTGTGTACTGTGAAAACCAGGGAAAAACTAAGTAAACTAGAACACAAGATAAAAGAAGATTACTTAGTTATAAAGTAGACTCACAGGCCACGGATTAGGACCTGAGACTGACGGTTGTTGACATGGTTGTCGCTCTTGTGACGAAACTGCAAAAAACAAAGGTCAGCGTGAACTTCCCAGGGTCAAAGTTGAAGCTACATCAAACAGAAACCAATTGCTTTAATCACAGGTCCTCGTATCTGTTTGATCCCGTTAGCCTCGCACTCAGGAATTCATGTGTGGTGCTCACGTAATCGTCCATGGCATCCTTCACTGCAGTGATGCTCAGCACCAGAGCTAAAGGCACGATGGTGGTGTAGCAGGAGAGTGAGGAGATCTGAGGTATCAACTAGACACAGACAGACAGAGAGGGAGGGGCGGCGGGGTCTTCTGGTTAGTTCAACTGAGGACAAAGACGTCTGTTGCACAAAAACAAACATAATTTAAGTCAATGCTTATTAAAGTGTGGGCTGTGCCTCCGCTGGGGGGCGCCATAGTGCCTTAAGAGACGTACGAAATGAGGAAAAAGAAAGGCAGATGCTGAACAATATGAAAATAAGCTTATGACATGAGAAGGAATGGATGGATGTGTTGATCATACGGGGAGAAACGAGAATGAGGCGAGGACTATTTAAGGTTTGGATGTGAATGGGCTGGTGTTGGGCATCATTTCTTATCTTGTAGAACTTTTGTAACACTTACAGAATAACTAAGAATAACTTTTACACTATACCTATTTTTTTAAGATGAACAAACAAGAAAAAAATCCCTGATCAACTACCACTCCAACATCACCTCCACTACAATAATGGAGGACTGATCTCTCCTTGTGTCGTTCTCACGACGACTCCTCTCACCTGTAGAATGAGCAGGAATAGGAAATAAGTGTTGGCCACTTCCTGGAACTGCTCAAACAGGTTGACAGGCAGAAAGGTGATAATGTTGTACTTGGACGTCATGATGTAGTTACTCTGTGGACGGAGGAATATTAAATGGTGAACTTCATCATACTGAAATGTGACTTTAGTTATAAACAAGGCCATGAAGTGGTGAAGGAGAAAACCTCAGACCCTCACCGCATACTCAAACTTCTCATTGTACTCTCGGTCGTTGGCTTTGACCCGTCTCTCCTCCTCTACAGGAAGACCAGATGTAAAACAAGTCATAAAGGATGTTACAATTCTCACACTTGTTTTAATAAGTTGACTGTTAAACAGAGACATATGTGCAGCCTTATGTAAAATATACACAGACATGAAGTGAAAGGCCTCGAAGCTCTGGGAGCTCTAATACACTTTTGACTGTGTTAACAACCTGACGACGCCACAGGAAGGGACGCACGGCACACAAAACACACAGCCATTACCCCAGATTAGACACACACACCGTCAGAGACACTGTGGTTTCCTGTGTTTCTGCATCCGTACCACACCACCTCCTAACTTAGTGTTTACATGATGAACTTTAGTTTCAACCTCACCAAACAAACTCCTCTAATACTCGTCTCGTGTCTGACTTTAGTCAGTGGTTTTTATTAGCAGGCAAATTAAGAAAACCTGCAACTTGAGTTTAAGACCATGACGTTCATGGGAAGTCAATGAGGTTAGTTAGATAGTAAAATATTGGTGTTATTTTGGTGAGAGTTTCTCCCTAAAACCGATCACTGTGCCCATTAACTGAACACTCCTTGTCACATAAAATATTCATATCGTTAACATCCTGCATTTGGCTGTTTTTGATGCTGATCATTATTCTAATTTGGTAAAGGCTACCAATGAACTAAACTATGTTACAATCCTCCCTGTTATGGTACTTAGTGTTCATTTGGTAAAGGCTACCAATGAACTAAAATATGTTACAATCCTCCCTGTTATGATACTTAGTGTACACATAAACCAGACAGTTGTATGAGCTAACATTTACCTCCAGTCCGCCTAATGGTAAAAAAAATATGTCTAACATTTGAAAACAATCAACAAAAACATCTGTCAACTGTCTGAAATACATGTAATATGCAAAGCATAATATATTTATTATATAACATATTAAATAATATATTTAAATAAATATAGGTTATCTAACTAATACCTAAAAAAAAAAATATTTTTGCTAAATTTCTACGTACAACTTCAATCAATTAATTTTATTCTTATACAAAAGAAAATATATCTTGACAAATTGATTAAGAGTGGATTCATAACTCCATGGATCAGTAAATGACTGTGATACTGTACACTGCTCTAAATGACATTTAAAAATCAATGGCCTATAAAAAACATAATAATAAAAAAAACACCAACATTATGATGAAAAGCCAGAACTAGGATTTATTTACGCCTCAAACCTAAAATTTAGGATGTATGGACCTCTTGCTTATAAATAATCTGACAGATTAAATCATTTAGATTGAATTTCATTTGGTTATGATGACATATACTGTAGAGTAAAGAATTCATCTTCCCTAATCTAATTTGGATTAATATGAGTAGCGCACATTAATCCCTGCTGCTGAATCTCTTCCTCAGAAAAGTTTCTTCTTCCACAGTAGATACACCATCTGTACTACACTGTCCTGCTCGCCCTCTAGAGGTCATTAAACATCTTATCACAGTCTGTGTTCATAACAGCAGATGATTACAGCGCTGACCCTCTGTTTTTAAGTTAGCCACATTAGCACCTTTGTCACCTTAGGTGTCAGTTAGCGAGAGCCTCTGTTATTCTTCAGTATGACTGAATGAGCATCATTTACTTGTCGCGGCTCCAAGGTCACAACGAGCCCTGACACAGACCAACTGTTACACTGCAGGTCTGTGTAGATCTATAGAGGGTCCATTATGGTGGCAGGGGGCGGGAGGTGGGGGTGGATTTTGACTGGTCTGCAACAAACATAAGGTTTCCACAAGTAACTGAGATGTAGAGCATATTGATTGAAACAACAGTAGAGAGTGCCCTAATGTGGCACTGGCTCACATAGAATTATTTAGTCTCCTGCCGGTATTTTCTTTTATTTTTTAAACTGTTCTCTCTGTCTGGACCGGCTCTGGATTTATTCCTGTCTCCACCACGTGCGTAGTAATGCTGACCAAACAGCACCGTCAGTGGGAGCCTCGGGAATACTCTTGTCTCTGACATGACCAAACCTAAGTCGGGATCAGAGTCAGACTGTTTCCTGCAGGGAAATGATCCTCGGTCACTGCGGCTCGTATAATTGGATAAAACCCAGAGAGAGGAGCTGACTGCGCTACGGACGTTCACGTGCACACACGTGAGCGTGTGCACACTCTCTGTGATCTAATTTGTAGGATGCAAGGCTGCAAGTGGCACAGGGGCAGTCTGATGGTCTGGAGGTCAGATGAAGGTGGGCATCTTCCTCATCGTCAGCTGGGTTTGCAGTAGTTAAGAAGCAGGGACACAGATGAGCAGCTGGCGCCCAGAGGATTGATCAGTCGCCCACAGCAGCATCAATAAGGACATCAGTCATAGCAGTGAGATTCAGAGAGAAACTTTGTTCACAAAACTCATTATCCGCGTAAGGTTATATTTTAATTACACAAGAATGAGTAGAGCGGAAAAAACAATCCATCCATTTTGCGGGACCTCAGCTCTTCTACTTGCTGAGCTGCTCATTTTGACTATGATCAAATGAAGAACTCAACAACACCTGCTTAGGTTCAGAACCAGAACAAACTTCTTGATGGTGTGGTTGTTGTGACATTGATTTTTGGACCAAATTGAGCGAAAAATAAAATAGAATTATGAGATTTAACTAAAATGTAAAACTTTTTCTCATACCGATTCAATCAATTTAATTAAATTAATTTTTTTAAGGCTATTTATTTATCATTTAAAGGCTGCTAATGCACAACCATTTTATTTTACTAAGAAAGTCCCAAACACAGAAGATTTCTGTCAGCAACACTTTAACCATGGTTCTGACTGGTTTTAGACAAATTAAAAAAATTTTTTTCCTGGAAACTATGCACTTCCATTGGTTCCTCTGTTCCACAGTAAATGTTAGTTCCATCTTTTACTAACGGATTATACATCAAATTAGCCCAACATTGGCACCTCATGTTGCATGGAGATGAATCTGTATCAGTGTTTGAGAAGTTGTAGAACAGCAGTGTTGTGTTCAATGTCAGGTACTGACCTGGAGGAAGTCTCTTTCTGAACATCTCCGCTGCGCTGGCCTCCTCTGACTATGACCCATCAGACTGTCTACACAGGGAAAGAAGAGAAGTCGTGAGGACAGGAGTGAACAAGTGCTGAGGTGGGAACCAGCCCACACCGTGGGTCACATTTAGAGGGTTGTTTTTACTTTTAATTAAAATATTCGGCTTTAACATTGGACATTGCTATATTTTACATTTGATGATGTCCTAGAAGCCTGCCATAACACACACACACTCTCTCTACTTTCTCTCCTATTCTGTCATCTCCTTCACTCCCCTCTCCTATCCCCTCACACTTCTCATGTCCTCTCCATACTCTCATTTTCTCTCCTCATATCATCTCTCTTCCCCTCCTCTCTTTTTTTCTTGTCTACTCTCCAAACCCCTCTGCTCTACTCTCTTCTATTTTCTTCATCTCTCCTTTCCTTTCCTCTCCTTTTTTCTCTTTTCCTTTCCTTTCCTATCCTTTCCTCTCCTCACTCCTCTTCTCTCCTCTCCTCTGTAGTTCAAATTCGAGGAAACAGAGCAGTCATGACGACTGGGTGCACCAAGTTACCGATCAATACTCTACAAAAAAATCGCTCTGTCGCGCCCTCCCCTCATCCCCTCTCACTCTCTCTCCCTCAGGCCGATCAGCTTTCAGCATCGTCTCTCTCACTCTATTACAGTTCTCTTTTATTGCATTTCTACTCAGTTTCTACTCTACCCCTTTATCCACTCCTGGTGAAAACAAGATCATTCTCCTCCTCCCCAGTCTTACAGCTGTTTACTCCCGCTCATCCTCCTCCCTGTGGCTTCAGGGTTGTACGTAACCCCACTGACCTGTGATGCCTTGAATTGAATCTCGCAACTGAAGCAATAATAAATAAATAAATAAATAAATAAATAGTCCATTGAATATCAAAGCACCTTTCTTGCCATTCAACACCTGACTGACATTTCCTTGCTATGTAATTTGCTATGTAACTACAGTACATTCAAGTGCAGAACACACATTAGTGGTTCTGTATGACCTCAGCGTTTGAATCACCTCTGATTTACTGCAGAAATACTTAGCCAAGAACACAAAACAACTGGAGGAGGTACTGGAAAACAGATACTGTATCTACTTTGGGTCATCAGCCTTGGCATATTCATTAAAATTTAATTATTTTCACTTTTGACAAATGCAGTTTTCAGACAGGGAGACGAGGAGTCTAATGGTGATAACGATGATAATGTTGGGCCAAAATAATTCGGCAACTATCACTTCATAAATCTAAACTTCCTATATCACCTGCAGGGGGCGCTACTGTGCAATTGCAATACTTACAACAATTAGTAACACGATTGGGTTTAAAGTATAGAATTGAACTTGCCTGTTGTAAAGAAAAGCTAGCTGCTAGCTGACTGTAGACTGTAGGGTAGAGCTACTACATGCTGTTGAGCTGTACACACAGTAGAAAGTACAGGAAAATACAAAGTAATACGAGTACGAGTAGCATTTTGAGCAGATAAACACAGCAGTCAATATTTACCTTAAATGCAATTTGTAAAACCTTCATCAGTAATGTCAGGTTAACTAAAGTAGCATTTTGAGCAGATAAACACAGCAGCCAATATTTACCTAAACTCTTTTAATTTTGTAGAAACCAGTGCACCAATAATTACATCACATTTTTCTTTTAATTTTGTAGAAACCAGTGCACTAATAATTACATCACAATTTTCTTAAAATAGTATTTTGTCTGTGTATAATTCATGCAAATAAGACATTGAAGTTTCAGACTTAACTCTAAGTTATGTATTAAGTCTTTAAAATGGAAGAAAACTGCAAAAAGTTGCAAGTGTTTACTTCGATCAACTAGTAATACTGTCATTCCATGTACTATCAGTGATATCATTACATATAATTCTACAGTCTCTGTGCTCCTACTCCCCCTGCCCCCAGCTACCCACACCATAAATAGTTTTCTAGATCCGCCACTGTGCAGAGAGTGGCTACAAAAAAATGCTGAGTTCTTCACTGAAAACTGAGAGCCGCGTTCATATTTGTAGCTGATAATGTGAAACTGCAGAGCTGCAGGAAACTCCACCGACCTTTCCAGCTTTCTCCGGTCCTGGTGAGAGTGTTCGTGTCTGAGTCATCAGCGATGATCTTCTTCTCACTGGGGTCATGATGAAGTTTGGAGTTGGATTCGGAGCCGAAGCTGCGACCGATGATGGTTTAAGGCCACTGAGGTGGAGGGGGTAGGCAGCGGAGACTGCAAAGGTGAGGGAGGGATCAGCCTCAGCCGGGGCGAAAGGAGAGCGGGGAGAAGAGGAGGAGGAGGAGGAGGAGTTGGCGCGGCTCCTCGGGCCCTTTCACCTCCTCTTGAAGCTTGGTTCCCTCGTTAACCAAGGATCACGAAAGATGTGACGTTTCTGATTCTGATTTGAACAAATCCGCTTTAACTACACTACAAATGTTTCCTAAAATTAGTATAATGTCGCCCTCTACTGCTAACTTCGCGTCACCACTTTGGCTCACTGGTTGAGATCGCACAATTTTAAACTTGTTCTTTTTATTTAAATCTTTAATAATTAATATTTTGATTTTATATTAGTGTAATAGAATAGAGTAAATTAAACATATTTAAAAAATAACACAATATCTCAGAAATAAGCCTATATAAAATATAACATCTATATACCGAGCGCCAAGTATAAATGTGAAGAGAAATTAGCAGCGTTATCAGAAATTCCACAAAGAAGTTATAATACTGCGGAAACATTGACCCGAATAATGCACAGATTAAAATGTTATTTTTTCCAAAGCAGCAACATAAACAGATTTTGAATCTGTTTATGTGAGAGAAACTGATGTAGAATGTTATATATTTTAAAACAGTGAACTTATGGCGTGTGTGCTAAGCTAGCGCAAGATTTCCCGGGCAACCGCCCACTTCTTCGTCTTCTTCTTCTTCATCGTATTATGTCTTCTTTCTTTGTATGAAGGTAATTAATGTTTTTTTACATTAAAGTCAACGGGATTTCTGATGCTGATATTGTTCTTAACTTCTTATTGTTTTTCTATTTGATAACAGTTAATTTATGTAACCAGGTTGTTACGTAAATGATTTGCTCTAAGAGACAAAAATTGACCTATTTTTCACATATGTATCCCTAAAAAAGGAGAATAAACCTGCTTTTTCAACTTTAACAGAATAACAACAATAATAATAATATGAATACTAATAATATAATACAACAGGTGCTTATTGTGTTTTAATGGATGCGCCGTATTCCATTTGACATTTTATAAAAAGTAAAAATAGAATAATACATTTTATAATAAATTACACAGAATAAAGATCGTTTTTTTAAAAACGTATAATGTCACAGTCAATATCTTTAACAACGTAAAATTGACTTGTGTTTTAGGTATTGCTGTAGGTGTTGAATATAGTTTCTTCTTCTTCTTCTCTTCACACCAGACTGCATCAACAACCAAATAACTAATTGCAAATGTCCCATGCAAATGTCCAAAGTGTTTTGTGATTTGTGTGTAGAAAGTTATCTTCACAGTAACGTTCAAAAATAGGTTGCCTTCAAATCCTTTCCATTTTCCGTGGTGGGCGTCACCTTCTTGATGTTTTCACTTATTGTTGTTAGGGTGGAGACGTCGTCAGGGTCGTGTGGATCAGGCAGATGCATAGAAATGAAGAACGTATACATGAGAGTTCCTAAAACGGCTCCAATAGGTGGTGCCACCAGGGGGACCCAGAACCAGTAGTTGTAACACCTGTTAAGCAGACACCAGGAGGAAATTGGTTTTTGCCAAGACTGTTCTGGGGCAACATCAAATGTCTCTACTATTCAGGTAAGAAAGTCATTTTGTTAAAATAGATTTTTTTTTTTACTTTTCTCCTAAAATCAATTACTTTTAGAAAATTATTTAAGCACTTGTTTTAAAACAAGTTAAGCCTGAATTCAGTATTTGTTTTTTATAAGACATGTCACTTTATTGCTCCAACTATAACCACTATTTTACAGAAGTTAATAAAAAAATATAAGAATTACAATGTGTATTTGAAACGGTTAAACAATTGACATTTTATTCATATCAGTCTGTGGATTCAAGATTTCTTGTAATTGTTATTTCTAAATATGACTACATATATAACCTCCTTTGTTCTTTATTGCAGAAACTGAAAGACCAATAGCATCAGGTAGGTGTCAGTGTTTTCTCTGTTTTAATTAATCCAAATGATGAAATTATTAATAAGGAATTAATTATTAATTAATAAAAACATATAAACAAAAATATACCTAAGAATTTAGCTTGATAGAAATAGTGGATTTTTAGTCCAACTCAACTCCAAGTGACCAAATATAAATCATGGGACAGCAGCAGATTATAATCTGAAAGACACCACTGTGTCCTGTCCCTGTGATGCTGAAGCTGTGATAAGTCTGATAACCTCTGCTGTGTAGTCGTATCTGCTGATGACAAGGCCAGGATCCTGGAATCAGATCCTATCTGTTTCAGATTTGAAGCTGACACTGACACTGTCTGATTTTATTGCCTCTGTGCCTGGTCACTTCCTAATGTGCAGTGTACACACAGCAGACGACACTTACGTAAAGACCTCTGTTCCCCAGCCCGCAGTCAGCGTGAAGAGTCGTGGGCCAAGGTCACGTGCAGGATTTATTGCTCCTCCGCAGTTAGCTGACATTGACATGGAAATTCCCAGGACAATCACTGCCACTATAGGAGGAATCAGCCCCGGAGGAGCAGGAGTGTTCCTGGTTTCTCCCAAACACAGGATGCACAACATCAGCATGCCGGTGCCCACTACCTGAGGACGTCAGGTATGAACAAGTAGTTGAAGTAAAATGATTAAAACTGTTATTCCTAAAGTTTAATATTCCCAACTGACCTGGTCGAGGAAACTTCTCCCCAAACTGATGTACTCTGAGGGGTATGTAGCAAATATGGACGCCGTCTCGTTTGGGCCATATACAGTCAAGACTCCTCCACTAAACGACATGATAGCATCTGGAACATAGTGTTAACAAATACAAAAAAATTTCAAACATGTGGTCTGCAGCCCCCGCGGGCCCATAGAGGAACTGCATGGAGTTCATGAATTTTTTTTGCATTTGAACCATGATTAAATGAACACGTGATTATAGTAGCGTAGCATTTAATGCAACATGACAGGTGTGGTTTAAACAGGGCACGGGGCTCAGGGATTATAGTAGCGTAGCATTTAATGCAAGGGTGGTTTAAACAGGGCACGGGGCTCAGTTTGATATAATGCACAAAAACACGTCATCATAAAAGAGGCCAAAAACCAACCGTAATACACTGTGTAGACCACCCCTGATGCCACATAGGCCCCCAGCAGCTGTGAGAGGCTGTAGGGCACCAGCCGTTTCCAGGGCGTTTGGCGCAACACACAGAAACTCAGGGTCACGGCTGGGTTGAGATGAGCTCCTGCGAGAAGAATAGAAACGGAAGTGAAAAAATATTTTTTTTAAATAGACACGTTCTCAGTGAAGTAAGGTAAAATAAAATGAAGTTTCTGCAGCTGTTTTCACCTGTGATGCCTTTGGTTAGGTACATGGCCGACATGACGCCCACAGAGAAGGCGATGTTGACGGACATAAACTGGCCTTTGGTCTCCCTGCTGGTTTTCACCTGAGCTGCAGCAGAGCAGCCGAAAAGCTGGGATAAAAGGTAGGAGAATAATACAAAAGTATCTTTTGTTTGTAAAACCCAACAACGGTACTTGGCTCCATTTTGTAACGTGACTGATTGTTATTTATCTGTGATTTATCTGCTGGTTAATTTTTCCTTCCTAATAAACCTAGACTCTGCACCCTGGAATTTATTGACACGAGGCTCATACAGTACGTCTCTGGATGTGATGCACACTAGGTCAATATGGACAGGTCAATAAATCATGACTTTTATTACGGCACAGAATTACCCTACATAGTAAAAAATAATAATTTGAACCTAGTGCCAGTAAAGTTGAGTGAACATTAAGTCTAGACTAATTACTGAAATAAATGATTTTGAGTTTTAGTTTTCATGTTGTGTCAATTCAGCTGCAATGCCTTGACAACAAAGTTAATTCTTAAGAGCCCACGTTACAGTCATTTTTAAGTACAAAAATTGTAAAAGCTTAACTACCTGAGTCAGAGTTATGTTTTGTTTTTAGTGTTCTAAAGTAAAGAATTTACAATATATATTTGTCCAAAAACTAATTTTCTTGTAGCATAATAACAAAAAGAAAACAAAAAATCAACTCTGTGTCACTTACCAGCAAAACAAAAGTTCCCAAGAATTCTGCCATGCACTCACGCAGCAGGGCATTTCTTAGTCTCAGCGAAGACATTTTAACCATGGCTTCAAACTTCTAACGGTCATCACAGTAAAAACAGAACTCTCCTGTGGTGTCGGTGCCACCACCAACCGGTCACTCAGT